AATTTGGCGTAAACCGGTTTCAAAGCAAAGAACCGTCGAGCAACACCCGAACATTTATGTAACGGAATTGCACTGTGTGGGACACACGGGGTATGGAATACCTGGAGAGTAACGGACTCTCATTACATAATTGTAGGAGCTAACCAAGACTCAGTACGTTGGCCGAAGACGATACGTTAAGTATTCGCTTATGTGTTTATTTGCTAGATAGCTAACCAGATAGATTTACCCCTTAGGCGGCTTGACCGCAGTGCAAGTAATAAAAAACACTTCGGATTTTAAAGCAAAAAAACTGTTAGTATTACAAATAACTTTGAAGCTCTGATTAATGGACTGTATAAGTCATCTTCGGATAAGAGACTTATTACTACTGACTCTTTGAGTCGTCGGACGTCTTCATCGGACGCGAAAACTACGGCGGCCCCGCTACACCTGGTAGCACTTGTAGTCAATCCCGCACCTGAGTCGGTTTACTGTATCCTCAGCGAGGAGGAAACACCTAGGGTTTAACCCCCCCCCCGACGCCGCAGAACGCACTTAACAAGCTTATATCTTTGCTAAGTCCGGAGGGCGTGGCTCACCTTGCGTGGGGATGTGGGCCGTCATATTGAGCTGGTTGCTGGAAAGCGTTATATGTCTCGGCTGCAGGTTTTAATCGATAGATGGTAGAAAAGACAGCGGCTGTTTTTTCACCAGCGAGATATATATTAGTCCATATTGTCGGCTGGACTTGCCATTACGCTGCAAAACCCGACTCGAGGGAGATGGCGGTACAAGAGCATTCCGCTAGAGAACAGTGTCGCCAGCGCCGGCCACTAACCAGGCCGGGGGAGTCGACTGTTCGTCAGCCCCAACAGAGACGACTGGGATAGGACACTTCCGGCAGTCGGCAACCTCGGGTAGGTCTATCAACCCGTCCTCATACACGTAAACCCGAAATACATGTAGTTTGGACGCGGATCCTTCAAAGTGTACGTTACATACGCGCACGCTCCAAGAGAGAAAGACCCAACGTCTCACGCGGCCAAGACATCGCAAGAACGGGATGCCCGAGCCCCCGTGGGCACTACCCACGGACCCCAGCACGCACTTCTCATTCTGGCGCTCTTTTCTCTGCCCTACCTGCTTTACTCGGCCTGCTGCGTATTGCCGCAGTACACCAGCGATCAGAAACCTTTTCTTACTGTTGGGTAGGGTTGCCAGACCCCACGCGTAGTAAGGCTCTATTAGCTGCTTTATCTGAGCCGTTCCTGTCCAAATTGCAACTGAGAGGTATGCTGCCAGCCACACGCACAGAGTTCCCCTTCCTAACTTCGCTGTCTATCCTTCTACCTTCCCTATAACTTCGTCTTCGTAAGGGGAAACTCCCCCTCTCTGGGGTACGCCAGATGCTCATCACTAGCCCCGACGTCGCCCGCTGTCCTTGATACCCCCTCTCTGTCCTTCCGCCGTGTCTTTTCCTTCCGTGCGATCTTATGCAGTCGACGTCAACCGACTGCTCGCATCTTCAACGTCTCCCTCGTCACTCTGTATCTGTAGTCCCTCACGCCACCGTCCGTCACCAACTCTGTCACCGTCTGGCCGCTGTCTGCTGAAGGTCAATGGTCACTGGCATGCGGGACTGTACTGACATCTCGTGCTCTTCCTGGGCTAAGAGCACGGGGTGTCCACAATATCATTGCAGATATCGCAGACAGATCGCTCCTGTCAAGAAGCGCTGGGACCCTGGGACCCAAGGCTACACAAAAGAGCCCGTGGAGCTGGTAGCCTTAGTGGCGCTACCGTGTTGTGCATATGCCTGAGAAGAAATGACACCCGACAAAAAGGGCTTCTTAAAAATATATGGCAATTTAAATGCCCAATTTTACTATAAATATTGTCGGGTTTGGCTGCCACATATGGCGCTTTTCACACAGTAAAATAAAAAATCTTATTTATGCGCGCCTACTAGTAAGATTGTACCATGCTACTGGTAGGCTTTCAGCCTGGGATAAAAGATTAAAGTCGACAGGTTGCTCAACTATGGCGCCGACCCCAAGCGCCGCAGACTTCTTCTAGTATTTTTTTTATTACCAAAGTGACCCCACCTTGTTGCTCAATATTTCTGACGATGCCATATGCAAGACCCGAAAAGAGTTTTAAACAAAACCTATGCAATATTGGGACATTTCCAGCTTCTTGGTGATGATTTGAGTGGACTAACCCGCGTATATGTATGTCGACCGATAACGTTTTTACTTTATTGGTGTTGATCCCGTGCGACGTTGCGCAGCAAAGTTTGGATTTCCGGAATGATATTATCATATTGTGTTTAAGCACCAGCTTGATAAAGCGGATGGAAATGGCACATCGCTTAAGGTGTTTCTCACATCCCATAGACGTTTTGCGCAACCTCTACTATTCTGTTTCTGATATGAGATGCAACGGTGTTGTCGGTGTCACCGATGGCACTTGTCGTATCGACTTCAGTAAGACTGACACTTTTACTTAAGCACTCCTAACAAACGTATCTTAAAGCTGTTGTGCAAGACAGCATTTTGGTAGTCCCCCCTCCTCGACAATCAGCGTAGAAACCTATGAAGCAAGTCACCGTAGGCGACCGACGGCTGCCTCGATAGCTAGATCACAAAATGCACCCAGGAAGACGCCGAAGCAGCCACACAGAGCTACCGAAGCCACCACTAAAATAGAAGACGCTACAAAAGCCGACGAAGACATTCAATCCACGGTCAAAGAAGCGACCCGAAAGGCGAAGTACGATGGTCGCATCCGCCAAGCGTCAGTGGTGAATTGGATCAAGAAATTCTGCGCCGCGAATACAAGCAGCGATCTCAGTTTGACGGTCTCGAGTGTGGTGCACTCCATACCTGATCAAAATGATTGTACCCATGCGGTATTAATATCAGCCTGATAATGCGATCACGGGTAAATGACATGTTATCTCTGAATCGCTGATAGCGTAAACAGCGGGGTGAGAGCCAGTGACACGTGAGAGCGACAGTAAAGACTGGGGTCACATACGTTTGACTACGGAAAAGCTAGCACACTAAACAGCATTGGTTTAGATCCTTCTTATTTTCGTCTCCGCTATTACGAACACGGAATTGACGCTGGCCCACCCAGAGGACGCGTTAGAGACGTAATAGCACAAAATCGAAGCCTGAACTGATTAATTAGGACAACCGTCAGTCCTCACTCAAGTACACCGCTAAAGAAAGCGGCAAGCGTATAAAGGAGGGAAGCTATTTGCCGACCGCAAGGAATCCCCCACGCCAAGATCGACATTGACCCCGAGATCGCCAACCCGATACCTCAAGATCGACAAAATCTGGGATCTCGCTGGTACAAGATCAACGACTCAACCTATACTCGGCGCAACGCGTAGAAGTAACTTCGCTGCTGCTAAACGTGTCGCTGTTCACGTAGACAGTCCGATACTCTAGGCCTCTAATGAGATCACTCGAAGAGCGAATTATCCCACCGACGGGTACACAAGGTGAGCACAAGAAACTTCATGAAAGATCAGAGTACCCCAACCGTTAGTCGGCAGATCGGGCGCCGTGTGCTAGAGGACCTCAACGAGCAGCGAGTTTTGCGGAGCCACATCGCCACAACACACCACGGACAAGTGAAAGACATCACTGATTTCTGATGACTATATATTTGATGGTCCTACGACAGCAACCACTGACCTGATTCTCTTGCGAATCTGAAACCAATATCATCCACATTAAAAACTCGCGTTGAGTACATTTTCTTTGCGATCTACAGTTTATCCATTGTTTAAAAAGAAAATTCACTAGATCAGAATCGACGGTATTGCGAGCCTGCTGATGGATTAAGCGCCGCGATGTGAAAGTTTGGGGCAGCGCTCATTGAAGCGCTTGCGCTTTCCCTCTGTGGGCGGCTTATTGTACTATAGTATTGAGGCCACTCACGACGAATTACGCTAGCGCTTTCAACAGGACGGACAACACTTTGACGCACACCTATCCACTCGAAAATATTGTCCTCGGCTTCTTGAGGCAGCAACAGAGAAGGATCACGCCGTTTTCAGGTAGCTTTGTGAGCTAGCGTCACGTGGTTTCGGATCATTATGTGCGAAGTTTGAGAAATGAAAGTTGATAGCTTCCCCGCCTAGTACACAATATATTTCCTCATGATGCTATGGCTTGCTATAAGAACATCTTGGTTCCGAAATCCAGAATTGGGCTTAGCGCACTGACGGAAGCGGTCTTGTCGTCTAGCTTGTGCAGGACGCACGCCAAGCGCACCTCAACTTGATTGTTTTTTTATCCGACACGTTCTTCTATCCGATTGACGTACATATACATCGGCAAGTATCATCGAGGCGCGAGGAAAGTCCCACCGGCCCCCATTGAAATTGGCACAGATTATCGATATCGGGTCGGCGACTGTCAATAGTCGCCTTACCCGCAAACATCGGACGAGCGGGAGCATCTATCCGCAATAAATATAAGAAATCCCTGTGCTCAGATTCGTAAGTTTTTGTGCTCGTCCAGATAAGTAGGGAGCAGACATTTTCTAGCCGAATGATTGGTAGATAGTTGAGAGGTGACATAGCAAAAATAATGTCAATTATTAACCAATGGATTGCATAGCAAGCTCCTTAAAAGCTACGAGCACTAGATCATTTCTTGATTTTTGGGCTCCTTTTTTAAAACCCATTTAAAATTATATGCTAATCTTGCCCTCTATTAGGGACGAGATGCCCGAGACCTAAGCTCTCATTTTATTGGGACATAATCTACCAAGAGGATTAAGAGCATCTCCACTCGAGCGTGTTATTGCTAATCAAGAAAATATTTTTCCGTAACAAATGCTAAAAATAGCTCACACCATCCCAGTGGGTGCTCTATTGCTATCTAAATTTATAAATTTCAAGCAGGTGGCTATTCCAAATATGAATAGAGCGCGGGATCTATTGCAACAGCCGCATTCGGCAACGGACTACCAAAGCACAAATCCACCATTCTACAATGGGACGCGGGCGCAAATGGGAGACGCAGCAAGATGAAGCGCTAGTTCGCGCATATTTAGACCTCTCTCAAAACTCCATTCAAGGTGCAGAGCAAAAGGCAGCGTCTTTCTGGGATTTAATTCTCAATCGATTTAATACCGCAACAAAGCCGAAGAAGGAGGAAGTTCGTACTGCGCAAGCGCTTCGCAATCGATGGTCTAGTATTTCTCACGACGTGGCCAAATTTGTGGGGTGTTATAGTGTTATTAAGGCCCGCAATGAGTCAGGCAAGAGTGCGGATGACGTGATGAAAGACACTCGATTACTATTCAGAGAGCAACAAGGATCCGAGTTTTCTTTCGAGAGTTGTTGGTTGATTCTGCAGAAATGCCCGAAGTTCATGGATGGGATTAGAACCCGTGGGTCCGGATCTAACGCTGGTGTGGCTGGTGAAGTAGAGAAGGAGAGGCCAAAAGAACGAAAGAAAGCTAAGACTGATCTAGCCGCGGAAATCGAGGATTTCAAAATACTGAAGCAACTCGTGGATGACAATAAAGAGCGAAATTCTGTACGCTTTGAGCAAATGAAGCGCAAGAACGACTTGATTGAGGAGCAGCTTACAATGGACCTGTTTAAAACAGACCCGAATTCGGAAGAATCCCAAACCTTTTTCAGTTTCATGCGCAAGAAGCGTCTAGCTTCTATCATGGATGGAGAGGCAGCTCGAGAACTAGGAACATCGATCAATGGTCGAGATAAAGACGCGCAAGACAAACGTCAAAACTCATCGGATCCTGGTGCCGATGTAGCTATACCTGTCAATGGTACGGTTGGAAATGATGCTGGTTCGATCAAGGATTTAGTAGCTCGTCCCGCCATTTAAGACAATCTATGAGCACGATCAGTAAATTGCTTTAACCTTAACTAACAAATTACCACAAAAACAATCTTCGAGTCTTCGCCATTCTCAAAGTTAAAAAAATAAAAGTAGCAAAGCATATACATTAATAATCTGAGCTGTGTTAATGTGTACCATTCCAACTCCAGAAATGTCTGCAAAGTACCTCTCGCATGGCCAAAGATGCACTGTTGTCGTGAAGAACTTTAAGGCGCTTGCATATATCCATAATTGAACCCGCCAAACATTCATCGGCTGACGCAGACACGTGTACGGGTTCGAGGGGCTGCTGCTCTGCGGTTGTATTCAAAGTTTCTGTACCGTACGGATCAGGAAGGTAGTCAGGCACGTTTTCTCCTCGCAACTCGATCACCATGTTATGTAGAATGACGCAGCACGCAGCAGTAAGTAACGTACTTCATTTGATCCTCGTACCACAAGCGAGACGGTACGGCAAGGACATTAAAACGGGACTTTAATATTCCAAATGCACATTCAACATCTTTTCTGATAGCCTCGTGGGCTTTTGTAAAAGCCTTCTTGCTCCTTTCTTCAGGATCCGTATACGCCGATATGAATGTACTCCATGCCGAGTAAATACCGTCCACAAAATAGTATGGTGTTTCGTAGTCTACACCATCAATTTCATAGTGGACACGAGGCTAAGTATCATTAAGAAAACTATGCAGTAAAGGAGAACGGTTCAGAATGTTTAAATCGTTGTTTGATCCCGGAATACCGAAAAAAGCATGCCATATCCATCGATCTGCAGTGGCAATGGCTTCAAGAACGACAGTAGGAGCTCCTTCTTTTCCACGATAGTGTCCGTGCCAAGCTGTCGGACAATCCTTCCATCGCCAGTGAGTGCAGTCCAGAGATCCCAGCAAACCCGGCATGCCACGACTCTCATTAAAGCGCAGGATCTTCCTAACGTCATCTGCTGTTGGCGCCCGCAGGTACACTTTACTATATATGTCTATTACAGTCTTACAGAAAGCGTGAAAGCTCTTCATCACAGTAGTCTCTGCTATTCGACAATATTCGTCCTGTCCATCAGCAGAGATGCCGCTTCCTAACATGCGTAGAGCTGCAGTCATTTTCTGCTCTGGAGATGCCCCCATCTTGCCAACAGCATCAGGTTTCCTTGCAAAATAAGAATTCGCTTCCGTAATCTCGATCAATAGCCGCCGAAAGAGTACTGAAGGGAGCCCGTAGCGTCGCTGGAACAGCGTTTCGTCGTAGACCGGATTAGGACCGAGGTAGTCCCGCATTATTGATTCGTGACCGAGTAGAATGTTCCGTTCACGTGTTTTCATCCTTCCGGGGACTGAGCCCCGGCGTGGCCGGCCTCTTCGTCTTTTAGAACGGCGACGTATAATCAGACTTAGAGTGATTTTGGCGTCAAAGCCATCAAGAACATCGATGATGTTGTCATCGTCGTCGTGGCGTAGCAGCGCTTGAAGCTCCATCTATGCTGGATAGCGACCAGGCGAGTGGTCATAGGCAGAAGTATTTATATTTCTATTTTTGAGTAGCCAATCAAAATAGATTTAAACTCGTGATTAGAAATAGGTTTGCCAATGGACGCCTTCCAAAAATATAGTAAGCACCTGACATACCTGCAGCAGATATTGCAGGCATAACGATCGAATAAAATCCGTGGGGCGTAAAAATCGTCTGAGTAATCTACCCTTCCCCTATATTTAATCTCTGTAGCCATCTTATCGCTAGATCTAGAATTTTGTATTAGAAATGCTGACCATCGCTCTGAACTGACCCACAATCACTCTCTCTGCATATATCTCGCATATCTCATTTTTGCGCTCAAGTTGCAGAAGCCCACACTTTCGAAAATCGGTCGTTGAGGGCAAAGTGCCGCCATCGTAGCGAAAGGTACGTACTCAAGAAGCTTGGAGAAGAATGTTTGCTAATTAACTTCCTACTTGCAGGAGATGGTTCACTCGGCCACGTATTGGCGCGAGCGGTGCATTGCAGATTCGTCGACGGAGGAGGAGAACACGCCGCCTAATCTCCACACTGGTGTTGCCGATAATCTGGACGGGTACAGCTCAACAGGCACTTCGTCTGTAGTGAGGGATACGCCGCCGCGCAAGCCGAAGCCGGGGGGCACTCCGACAGTTGGTGAGGGGTTGCGGGCATCAGCATCTCCGTCACACACGCGCGCGCCACGCAGCCCGACGACATCATCACCGGTGATGCTGGGGGCGCCTCCATCGCCACTGCTTCGTCCGCGCCCAAGCGTTCCTCTACGCGAGCATCGTTCATCACGGCGAGAGCGTCGGGCTGCTGCTGACCCATACCGCCGACGTCATGGCCATCCTCGTGAGCCAGCGTCATCGTCGCCTAACCCCCGGGGACTCCTGAGAACAAGCCCCATCTCGGCTCTAAAGCCGCGTGTTGCTGTGTCCCGTTCTCGCGACCGCTTTGTACCTGCAGACTGGCCGTGTCGAGTGGCCAATCTGCGCACCCCGTTTAACCCGACCGGTTTGGTGTTCCCGACGGTGGCCCACTTCGGCTGGTGTGAGTGCGCGCTGCCGTGCCGTGTGGGTACGTGCAGGAACTCACTGATGCAGATTTTCTGCACGCCAGGCTGCTGTCCTTACGAAGCCAATTGTGGGAACGCCTTGGGCGAGTCCTCTTCGGTTTTCTTGGCGCGGAATGTTTGCACACGGCAGTTGGCGGTTGTAGCGGCTGAAGACATCGAAGCGGGTGAAGTGCTGGGCGAATATTTGGGCGAGTTAGAGCATGTGAGCGTCAATCCCCGCGGCCGACCTCGAAACGAAGGTTATCGTCTTGTTATGACACAGAGACCGGAAAGGCCGAGCCACCCGATCCGTGTCGCAATCAACGCAGAGAGCATGGGCGGCCTAATGCGCTTCGTTAACCACTCCTGTGCGCCGGTGGCGCAGTTCGTAGAGGTGTCGAACGGCCGTCGCACCACCGTTGTCGTTGCCACGACGGAATACATCCGGGAAGGAGAGGAAATCACCGTCGACTACGGGACGGATCTCTGGTTCGTGTGTCGTTGCGGCCTCGCGACCTGCCGCCACCGCGAGATCCAGAAAGAGCAGGACCCGTAGCGTGCGTGCGGGTACCAGCAAGATGTGAGCGTGATGAGTAGAAGCGATTACATACTAACATCCTGTGAATGAATGTATCCATCTTCGATAGTCCACGCTGGTGTTGAAGTGAAGTTGTACGTCTCTTCATTTCGAAGCTTTACAGTCTAAGTTGAAGCTGGAGGACGGGGTTTCGCGCCAAAACAAGAGCCCCCAAGAGATACCAACGGTAAGAAAAAGCTTCGGTCTCCGTTAGCGCACTCGGTTGGGCGCCAAATCATCTTGTAGCTTCTACTCACGCTCGATTTTGGTGGATAGAGGCCGAAGAGCGCCGCCGGCGCCGCGCAAAAGCGCGGCGCTGACAAGGCGAATTCGGAGCTCTCATTACTGGTTTTGCCAAGCTTCGGGCAAGTCCAACCCCCGTTCTCGACGTAGCCCTCGTCCTTCAGTGCCCTCAGCGTTCTTAACGTCCCCGGTATAGTTAAAACCTCTCCTGTGTTCCCGCTACAGCTTTACTAACGTTTTGTCTATCGATTCGCTCGTGTTCTTACTTGTAGATGGCTAAACTAACAGGGAGTACAAACTACAAACTTTCTGAAGTGCAACGACTGCTAACTCTCGTCGAGAAGTTCCTGCCACTTGGTAAAGATGAGTGGGAACGTCTGGCAATCTCCTATAACTCAAACCGAGGTCGTAGCATCTCCGAGCGTGATTACGAGAGTCTGCGGCGAAAGTTTAAGATGCTCTACAGTACCCGCAAACCAACGGGTGTGGCGGACATGCCTCCACATATCAAGGAGGCGAAGCTGCTGAAGAAGAACATTGATGAAAAGGCGGGGGTGACGGAAATGGACGACGGTGCCGATGTCGACGGCCAATTCGAAGATGAAGAGGACGACCAGCCTGACTTCAGCTTTGACTTGGAAGGCGTTGACGACATGGTTAACACCTCCGCTGTAAGTGCAACCAGCCTCCACTCGGCCACCAACATAGGCGAAGTGTCGGTCGACGACTCCACCGCTCCAATCGCCGGCATGGACGAGCTGATGGATTCGGCTGCTGGGCGCGAAGGACTTGAGGCGTTTGCAAACACTTCGGGACCGTCCCCAGTCTGTACCAGATCCTCGCAACGACAGGGCCGATCCACCGGTTTGCCGAAGCCGAACGTGCCGCAACCTTCGACCTCAAGCGTCATCAGCGTGGAGAAAACCGCCTCGATCCGAGCTGACGACACAGAGTATTCGAAGCGATACCACACGTCCTCCCAACCGGCTTCGGCGGTGGCAACCTAGCCGAATTTCGAAAGCATCAGTGGACGCAAAACGCGGAGCTGACGACGACGATGATCTCTCGGGAGGCCAGCTACGCCAAAGTGAAGAGAGTTAAGGCTACGAAAGCGGCCAACCAATTGAAGAAACGCCTCAGTGACCTGGCGACAGATTCCTCCGCGGTGGGGGGCAATATCGTTGAGATGATGATCCTCATGCGAGAGGACAGCGAACGCAGAGGTGAAGCTCGTCGTGCCGATGAAGAACAGCGCCGACGCAATGAAGTCGCAGCCCGGGGGGCCCTCTGGCACGCCGAGAAACTTGAAGCTGAAGAGCGCCGCCGCCAAGAGAAGATGGAGATGGAAGAAAGAGCTCGTCGCGATAAGGAGGAAGCCCGCGCTCGCTCGCAAGAGCTCATGTTCTTCATTGGTGCCCTCTTCAAGAAGGAGTGAAAAGATATACGGTCAGTGCTTCTAGCGAAAGAAGTCTACCCCAGAAACCAGCCCACAGAGGGAGGAAGTCCACTTCGTAGCGTTGCATATTGAGAATAGCCCTTGATAGAGAGCGAAAATGCCACAAACACGATGCTAATTGTCCGTCATCTCCGCTCGTATACAACTCGTAGTGAAACTACTCATGCAAAGGAACTCTGCCACTGTTCTTCATATACATAATCCACTTCCCGTGTTACAGGGAGATCTCCATCGCGCCTGTAAACGTCGTTCGGATTTCCGAAATGCCCACCGTGCGGACTCGGTAATTTGCCATCCGAAATAGGTTGTTTAGTCGCAGTCCACGGAGCTTCTGGTCGTAGGGAAAGCGGCAGGTTCAAGCGACTGTAAACCTTCTGCACGCTGCCCATGCCCCACTCAGCAGCCTGTCTCACCGACGTGATGGCGTTGTGCAGGGTGCGCGCCGAGCTTCGTAGCGACGGTTGAATTCTCTCGCGATCCCCGTCCTTCAACGGTGACAATATTCTCCCGGTCATCGCCGTGGAGCAGGGAAACGCCGAATCTGACACGGCGTTCATGCGCACATCCGGACAGTAAGTAGGATCCAGGAGCTTCATGCGAAATCCCAAAGAGGTGTCGGAATCGTTCCAGGACCCAGGGCAGTTATGCTTGGACCATATGATGCACCCGTCGGCGGCGAAGCAGATCGTGCCGGTCACCAGCACGGAGTGTAGCCATCCGTTATACATTGCATTTTGTAGGTCAGCATTAGATGGTTGCTGCACCTGAAACATATAGACAGCAACAAAAGAATATTATTTGGCATGTAGCAATAAAGAGAGTCAGTATAGAGACCCACACGAAAGTTCTTGCCGTCTATGAACCCGAACGTGTGTTTCAATAGCGGCTCGCGGGAATTGACCATCGTCGCCAGATCTCTCTGTCGAGATGGCGACGGAACGAAAAACGTCCTAGATAGAAGTCCTGAAGGGCACGCGACAATGCCTCTTCGGCCTTACGTAGCGAGCGCGACAACGTGCTGGGAGGAACCCCGAACAACATGTACAGAGTCGCGTTCTCCATTGAACCCACGTAGAAGCAAAGTACAAGTCCTAGGTCTTGATGGTGATATCGTAGCTTCGGTGGCCGACCTCTACTTCTCGCCGAAGGAAGGTGGTAGAAGCGCGAGAATCTTTTAAGTAGATGTTTAAAGGCAGCTCTGCGTAGTACATAGTTACAGTTGTTACGAACAGTGCAAACATTATCCACTCGTCAATAAAACCTACCTCGTGAGGCTTGTAGCGTTTATGAAGTTCGTGTCGAGGCCGTTCCGGTAAAGGGCCATCCACGCGGCCGCACAGGGTGTATCCAAGCATGACACCGTCAGGTAGTGACGTGTACGCATGGCAACGCGCCACGCGCTCTCCATCATCTGCTGGTGCACTTCACGGCGGACACTACCCAAACTAGCTTCGCGCCACGAGTGTGCGGCGCTCAATAACAGCAGCACGTCAACGTCATCGTCCTCCTCGTGCACCTTGTTGGCGAGAGTCTCTAAAGGGGAAGTGGTGAGCTTCAAGTACAATTTTTTTAGTCCAATAGAAATTGCCGCAATGTATAAAACTGCTAGTAAACTCAAGTACCTTCTTGCGGAGGGGACACTTTGCACTGGCCTAGGTTCCTCCTCTTACTAGATTTGTGGTGGGGCACAAAACATATAAGTCGACATAGAGGTCGATAAAACCTGACATATCTGCTGCAGATATGTCAGGTGCTTACTATATTTTTGGAAGGCGTCCAATGCGACTGGAGATGCTCTAAATCTACAGGGATTTATTGGGGACCTTTTTCTTTTCTCCAGGAGCTATTTCTATTTCTACCGGACTATTTTACTTCTTCGCCGTGGTGGATTTGTGTTTCAGCCAATGGAAGACCATGGACTATTTAATGAACATAATCTGTCCATTCTCACTCCCACCAGCCATTCAAGGTGTAGCAGTTCCTTGCTGTGGGTCATCTCCTTAGACACCAGCAGCCATGGCCATGATGAAGCGAAGACGCGAGAATGAGACCGGTGCGCAGGCAGATGCGGCTGAGGAGGCCAAGAAGCAGAAGCTGGCCACAGCGGGTGGCAGCAAGTACATCAACAAACAGCGCGTGCTTGTGTTTTCCTCGCGCGGCATCACGACGCGCTATCGCCACCTGATGGACGATTTCCGCAAACTGTTGCCGCACCACAAGCGTGAGGTGAAGCTGGACGCCAAGGACACTCTTCACGTGGTCAATGAGATCGCGGAGATCAAGGGTTGCAACACCACCATCTTCCTCGAGGCTCGCAAGCGCCAGGACCTCTACCTGTGGGTGAGCCGCGTCGGCACGGGCCCCAGCGCCAAGTTCCTTGTGCAGAACGGTCAGTTCAAACATTGTTTACGTATTTTATCCACTTATACTCACTTCATTTATGCCATATCGACACATTCAGTGCACACAATGGACGAGCTGAAGATGACGGGCAACGCTCTGGCCGGCTCGCGTCCGCTGCTGACGTTCGACAAGGCTTTCGACGATGAGCCGCATCTCCAGGTGGTTAAGAAGCTTTTCACGCAAGTGTGGGGCACGCCCAAGGCGCACCCGAAGAGCAAGCCGTTCATTGACCGCGTCATGAGCTTCTACTACGCGGACGGCAAGGTTTGGTGCCGTAACTACCAGCTGGCGGACGACGCCGACACTAAGAAGGCGGAGCTGGCCGCTCTTCACCGTGGCGAGGACCTCGTGCAGCTTATTGAGATCGGCCCGCGCTTCGTCATCACGCCCATCCGCATCTTCGACGGCAGCTTCGGCGGTCAGACTTTGTACCAGAACGAGAACTACGTGTCGCCCAACGAGAACCGCCGCGACGCTAAGGCCGACAAGCGCGACCGCTATGTGTCTCGCAAGTCGGCGGAGGTTGAGCGCAAGGACCGCCAGCCCGAGCGCGAGATGCCCGAGGACCAGTTCGCTGACGTCTTTGCCGGCGCCGAGCAGTAAAAATCCTGTCATGACGTCAGGGTACAGAGGCCGAATAGCAACCAGGACGACCCAGATAACTTTATCCTTAGACATTTTCACTTCAACGTTTGTGCGTACAAGTTTTGTGTACATGTTTGCAAGCTATTGGTCAAAACTCAAAATCATGATTTCTACCAATAAGATACGGAAAACTTCAAGTGACACTTTGCATAACGGTTCGGGGATGAAGGCATTCAATGCCTGGCGGGGTGGCGATGGGGGCTCCAAGACGTCCAACGACGCCGTCTCGGAGCTGCAGCAGGTGATCCTGAAGAAGGATCTGATGATTCTGAGTCTGCAGACGCAGCTGGACGCGTACAAGGCTCGCTTTGGCGCTCTACCGGCCGAAGATTTGGATGAATTAGCGAAGTCCGACGCGCTTAACGAGCCCCAGGAGAAACGCAGCAGGGAATTAAGCGCGGACGCGAAAGAACTAGCAGCAGAGAGTAAGTCCGTAGTGTCTAGGGCCAATGGGGGCGAGGATAAGTCCACTCAGGACAAGAAACAATCCACGCCTCGTATTGTGGCCACGTCGCCGCGCTTCCGATCCTCCTCTGACGCGGACGAGACTCGCGAGAAGATCCAAAGTCGTTTTAGTAAGAACGTAGTGCTGGACTATGTAGAGGACTCGCCCATGTTCCGTCGCCAACTCGAGGGTTTCGAGGAATCCATCACAGGCCTCCGAGCGCTGTTAAAGGAGCTTGTGGCACACTCAAAGGAGTACGCAGCTGCAGGGAAACACTTTGGCCAGGAAGAAACAGAGCTGGCCGATGAGCTGATCCAACGCAAACATGCACGAGCCATTTTCTCGACTAGTTGTCCGGAATTGGGTAGTTTATCGGAATTATTCGGAGAGATGCACGATACCCTGGCGCAGGTGCAGAGCTCCCGTGTGAGTATGCTACTGGGTGTGGAGTCATTGTTAAGTAGATCAATCCAGCAATTCACAGAGAAAGAGTTGCTAAAAGAAGCAGGAGAACTGAGGAAGGATGTGACGAGACTGGGAGAGGAGTACGAGACGCTGTTGGGTAAATTACTGAGCAAATCGAGACAGCCAGGCCAATCCGCTAATGGCACGGGTACACCTACTGGCGGAGGGGATTCAATAGGTCTAGGCAGTCCAGCGCTACCGATAGGGAGCTATAATGGCGAGTTCACAACCACAGGGACACCTCCGGCCTCTGCAGCTTCAGGAGGCAGCAACAACAACATTCTCGGATCGGATTCTGGACCTATGACAAGTGGAAGTGATAAACATCAACGTGCATTGGAGCGAGACGTGGTGACGGCACGTCGACGCTTTGAACTCGCTCGCTTCGACCTCGTTCGGCACATGAATCGGGTCGACTGCATGAAAAAATTTGTGCTGGTCGAGTGTTTCAACTCGATACTGTACGCTCAATTGGGCCACTTCCATGCATGCCACGAGCTCATCAAGTCCGTGGAGCCAAGTCTCCGTAGACGTCAAGAAATGATGCAACTGTCACGCAAAGATTTCGAACAAGACGAACTCATGTGGACAGCACAACGAGAGCTACTGGACAAACGTTTATCTCAAGACGTCGAGGCAGTCAGCTCCAGTGTTCCGTCAAGTGAATCATCGCCAGTAGCAGCAGGTTCCTTGAGTGTCGACACGGCCATGTCAAGCGACTGCTTCCCGTCTCTCGACTTGCCTGTAGAGGTCATCTCGACTGATACATTGAGTAGTCGACAGACCGTGGCTAGTACTCCTGGTGGCGTAGCCAAACAGGGCTATCTGTTCGTCCGTAACTCCATGTTCCCAGCTAGAAGCTGGAAGCGCCGTTGGTTCCAGATCCACGCCGGCAAACTCTTCCAAACCACGTCACGTGGCGGCATGGGGAAACATCCAACAGAAAGTAGCTTGACGCTTGTGTGCGATCTGTTACTTGCTCGAGTTCGTGAACTGGAGGGATCAAGTCTCCCGTTCTGCTTTGAAGTTATCGACGCCAACCGCGCAAAACTCTTACTACAAGCAGCCAGCGCTCGCGACATGATGGAGTGGATCGAGGCGTCTCGACGCAGTACTGAGAGCGCATTGGAGAAGCAAAGCCATCGACAAGAAGTGCATCCGGAACAGCAGTCGGTTATTGACGAACTTACCGAAGCCAATCCTTGTTGCGCCGACTGCGGACAAGAACCGGCTGAGTGGGTATCGATCAATATTGGCTGCTTGCTGTGCATCGAGTGCTCTGGCATCCATCGAAGTCTCGGTGTGCACGAGTCAAAGGTACGATCGTTAGCCTTAGACTCGTGGGATATGTCGCTCCTCACTCTACTTCGCGATAAGCTGGGCAACGACGCTGTAAACGCAGTATGGGAGCACACAATACCTGAGGGGTGGACCAAACCAACGCCCACAACTTCAAGAGATGAGAAGGCTCGGTTTATCAAGGCAAAGTACCATTTCCACGGCTTTGCCGAGCCTGACGCGACGCTGGAAGACGATGATAACGTACTTAAGCAAGAATTAGCCAAGCGGTTCGTCGCAGGAGCGTCATGTGGGGATCTAAAGGAGTTGATGTGGTGTCTGGCTCATGGCGTGGACGTCAATGTACGTGCTGGGGAACAGAATGAGACTGCGCTCCATGTGAGCGCTGCAGCCGGCGCTGCACCTTGCTGCGATTACCTCGTCGTTAATGGCGCAAGTTTAACGTTAACTGATAAACGCGGTCGGTTGCCGTACGACGCTGCCAAAGCTGGAGGATTCGAGGACATCAAACTCACGTTAATGCAGAAAATGAGTCTCGAACAGTACCAGTCTTAAAGAGGCAAAAGACTGGTACTATAATGCCGAACAATGTGACTACAGTAGTGACTACAGTAGATATACGTGTTGTAGTGGGGTGTTGGATTGAATATTTTATGCTAACCATCTAGTAGTACACAAGTCAAGATTAGTGTCTTCATCCTGATGGGAGAATTTTACTCGTTACCCGTCCAGAGCGCGGTCGAGCTGGAGCTTCTTGAGACAGCAACGCTGTCTCGCTTCCCTCTTCGGAATGCGCTTCGACATCTAATGAAATGCCTGGGTTTGTCGAGTTAGCGTCTACGTTGGCGTCTTGAGACTCTTTATCGGAGATATAGGGCATGACGCTGCAATTCAGACCGTTCCGAGGCGACAACGCAGCCCTTGGAGACGACCAGGACCGACTTGAGTGCTTGAACGGTGCGACGTGGCTAGCTTCATCGCCGTTGTCGTTATTAATAACCAGCACTTTTTCTCCATTACTCGAAGGATCTTCGGTCCCGTTGACGCTCTGGTGTCTAGCCGAGGACGATCCTACTTCACCGTTCATCGGTTCTGAGTCCGCGATCGATGTTTCGATTGCTGCGGCATTTTCAGCCGCAACTTCAGCAGCTAAAGCAGCCTCTGCTGCCAATCTGGCAGCATGTTGCTGGTTGGATTTCTCGCGGACGTGAATCATAAACTCGACGAACTCGACGATGTCGATCTGGCCGCTACCGTCTTCGTCCACAACGTCCATCATCTCCTTGAGCTCTTCGTAGGTTGGATACTTCCCAATAGCTGCAAGTCCGGTACGCAGTTCTGCTTCTTCGACTGAGCCACTGCCATCCAGATCCAACATTCGGAACACCTGCATGTACGAAGCCACCACTTTGGCGTCGATGTCGTGTTGAGATCGAAGAGCTTCCACACGACGTACGAGCTCTTTCTCGGCCTCCATTTCTTGTGTGGCTTCCTCCATACTTGTAGTCACCACACCGATGAATAGAGTAATCAACACCATGCCACCGAGAACGATGAAGACGAAGAAGTAGAGCACTGCTAACATACCACCCGGTTGGTGTTTACACTCGTATCCCAGATCTCGATACGCATCGTAGCCGTACAGATCACACCCGTAATAGTTGATATACAACACATCGCTCCACCCATCCATTGTAGCTAGCTGGAAGAGCGAGATCATGGCGAAATGTAAATACTGGAAGTGGAACGGATCGTTTTCGGCAAACAGCATATTCCCCACGATCCCAAAGACGTAGAAGCAAAGAAGTAGGATCAAACCAATGTACCCAATGGAGCTCACACCTTTAATCAAGGCAGAAACGATAACCTGCAGCTGTGGGAACGCTCTCACAAGTTTGAGCACACGCAACAGTCGTAGTAAACGCAGCATCGTAAGCATTCCACCCGACCCTTTCGTGAAGCTCCCGACCACAATGATAAAGTCGAAGACGTTCCATGCTCCACGAAAATAATTCCAGGGCTCTAAACCTTCAGCGAGGATTTTCAGAGTGACTTCAGCAGTAAACACGGTGAGAATGGCTGTATCCAGTCCCGTAAGCAGTGCCCCAAGCACATCAACCACTTCTGAAGACGTCTGAAGTCCCACCATTACTCCGGCCATGATGATGACACACGTGACGAAGAGCGAAAACTTGGGATGTTCCACGATTTTCGTCGCAACTCCCGCAACTTTGAGATACGCTCCTTTGATACTCCTGGTATCGCCTTGTTGCTGCGTTAAAATGTCCGTCAGGTCGCAGTCATCCCACGTCTGCATCAAAACTTCGCGCATTTTCTGCCGTTCTCGACGCTCGGCAGCAGACAACTTGCCTGTCTTGGTGGGGTCCAAATCGCTTATTTCTTGCGCTTCACCTGCCGCGCGCTTCTTCTCCGCTTCAAGAGCGCGGAGTTCTGCTTCCTGGGCCCGTTTACGAGCCTTTTCAGCTCGTTTTTTAGCCTCAGCTTCTTCCTGTGCTTTCTTCATGTGCTCCATACTTTGCGTCATACTCATAGTGATGGCACCGATAAATAGAGAGAGCATGACGAAGGCCGAGATGAGAATGAACGTGATGAAATACAAGGTAGCCATAACTTGGTTCAACGCGCGTTGCGAAGCCAACGAGCTGTCTGTCACATTAGCTCCATACACTCGAGTGACGTTGCAATACTGAAAACTTGCTGTCTTGGCAGGATCCGTCGAGTAATAGCCACCGTCAAAGCGATCACATCCGAAGTAATTAATGTCCATAATCTAAAAAATAAAATCATTAGGAAAGTAAAAAATGTTGTGAAAATAGATAACTTACGGTTGCCCAATTTTCGAGTGTACTCATTCGGAAAAGCGTGATCATTGCGATGGGAACACTACGAAAGTGGAACGTATCGTTATCTTGCCAAGCGTACATTCCGGAGATCGCGTAGAGATAAAATACGAGGAACAACAGTAACATGATATAGCCGATAGATTTCAGTCCGCCGATTAGTCCCATGACAATCATGTAGAGCTGCGGAATTCGCTTGACCAGCTTCATGATTCTCATAAGTCGAAGCATACGCAGAATAGCGATACTGCTACCCCCAAGAGCTGATCCCCATATCGGTAGACTCATGACAATAATTGCGAAATCAAAGCAATTCCATCGCATCTCTTTACCGGTAAAAAATCGCCATGGGTATAATCCTTCCGCCATAATTTTTATAAATGCTTCGAGGATAAACACGGCGAGGACAAACAAGTCCATGTCGTTGAGAATGATACTTTCCCCAAGCGTCGGGTACGTTTGCAGTCCAACCGATAGCGAAGCCCACGAGATACACAGCATGACGATCGAGTTAAACCACGTGTTGTTGAGCGTCCCGATGGCAATATTTGCTACCCGCACATAACACAGTTGAAAGCCCGTGAGGTCAGTCAGCGGGATCAGACGGATCTTCTCGCTATCTTCTTCCTTTTTTACTTCGTCCTTCGCGTCAGCTGAGGTATCCACGGGTGTTGTTGTCGGAGCGAGTGTTTTTGCTTCATTTTGAGGCGCAGCTTCTTCAACTTTACCTCCTTCTTCGTTAAGAGGTGTTGCAGCTGTGGCATCGCTGCCTTCTTCCCCCGGCGCCACATCGTGTACCACATTCCATTCATTGGCCTCTTTTGCTCGTCTTGCATCTGCAACCTTCCGATTGGCAGCAGCTCTGGCAGCGAGCATGTCTGTACCCAAGCGCCGAGCGAATCTCTCGTGGTACTCGACGCGATTCGCACTACGAGTGCGTCGAGAAGTCTAATCCACCGCCCGCCACGGCGGACCTGGTCTCCAATTTCAAACACGATTTCAGCAGACCAGGAGATGACAGCAAACGCAACAACCCTGGTTAGACAGCTACTGCGCATGCATCTATCCGGGACGTGGTTAGACGGCTCTAAATAAAGCACCCTGGAACATGGGAGGTAGAGCGAAGGTTATATCTGGGGAGTCAGTTTTCCAAAGCAAGTCATGATTCTGAGCAGGGGACACCGTGCAACAGAGAGGACGACACTGACACTAGGGCCGAGCGCTTCAGTACGTGAAAGTCGGAGTGTTCAGTGCATTGTTTTTATATCCCTTTTTTCACGGCTACGTGCTTAAGTGACAATTATTGCTCTGCTGTATTCGCAGGTGTAAGTAGTATTTTGCTTTTCTGTCTATAAACAACGCTGTGTATAATGCGAGGTGCTAGATCAAAACGATGGTACTTCCCTTGTCGTTGGCGACGACAGTTTTTGCATCAAAGATATCAGTAGTGGAGCTACAACGATATTGTCGTGAGGGTCCACGGAGTCTTGTATATGACTTCGAATGAGGTAACTCGATTGAAATCGAGGACGATCTCTCGAACCGAGCGAAACAAATGAACCGACTCCACCAACTGTGACGGATTCGCGATTTTTCATGCGATCAGCTGTTGCATTCCACGGAAACTCCACGTCAGTGCGCATGGATGAATCGAGTAGAGTATGAGTGTCCGCTTGGAACGTGAAGAGCGACGAAGCTCGTGGGTTTGAATCTGGAGAATCGAGTTCGAGGAACTCCTCGAACGTTTCCGTCGCCGACACATCCAACGTGTCGAAAGTCAGCATCTTTGAGACTTGCGGCTTGAAATCTTCCAGTCGTTTATCGATGGCACGAAGCCCCACGATGCAACGCAGACAGAACTTGGTCTGACAGGCGACTGAGGTGTCAGCCTCTCGGCATACGAACTGGTTGACGTAGCAGGTTTTGCAGATGACGTCTCCACACATTCGGCAATGGTGACGTCGACGAGAAATGAAATGGAACGAGCGACTGCATATGGTACACGAGAGGCGATTCTCGTCAGGGACCCAATCTTTGTGATGGGCGAGTGTCTGTCTGGTGATGTTCTGCGAGTCGACCACGAGCGAAATGTCGTTCAGAATCGCCATGCTCAGTCGATACTGGCTGTTCGTAATAGACGACTCGGTGGTGCCCATGATGAACAATTCGGACGTCGCCTTCGGATCGTCTATCGAAGAGATAACTAGCATCGTGCGCTTCATCCGCATACGAGTTAGTTTCGCAGATCCAAGTTCAGGACACTCTGGAACATCAATCGAAGCGGACGCCACGAACCCGATTTCCCTTCCATTGGCATCTCTGGTATATCCTACCATCTCGGCGAAACGGACATCGCGCTTCCCGGAAATCGAGTTTTCTGCCAGCCACTTGATGCCCAGATAGCTCTCATTTGTGGCTCCGATTGTGCGTAGTACAGCGCCATCGATCACCATAGGGGACAGTAGTTTCTGGTAGTGAACGAAGTCTGAAGAGTTTACTGCGTGGTGAACACCCACGATGTCCCGGTAATTGCCTTGGACACGTCCGAAGGTGCGAAAGGACTGAAGTGACTGAGATTCTCTATGAACACAATCGCCACCAATCGTTTGACGCGTCCAGCTACTGCTTCGGTTGCGCTTGTTGTACGTGTGTCCTCCCAAGGTGGACCTGTCGTTTAAGTTGCATGCTGTAGAGCGTGTGGTCTTCTCGAGGGTCGTAGCCCAAGATGACGTTGAGCTGAACGGATCGGACCCTCGCAGCTTGAATGTCTTAAGCTGGCCAAGTGAACTAACGAAGCGCCAATCCGAGTCGAGCTCGTTCTCCTTAGCAACCTGCACCGAGCGAGCGAGCATGGCGTCTTGCACTTGTTGTGTCATCAAAGTCTCGAGCATCCCTGCTTGATACGCCGAGAGTGACACTGGTGCAAACGCCTTGGAGCTGGAAGTCGCCATTGTACTGTTTGTTGTAACGACGTTGATCAACTGCGGAAGTTCGAAAATGACAGGTTCAAGCCGCCATAGTGGTTGGTAACTTTAATCTGAATATTTCACTGCCATAATTGCCACTACACTCAATGCTTAGTTCTGCGACAGCAACATGTCGCTCAGCACATTAGAGAACGGAATATTTCGCGCCAAAGAATCATTATACACATGGGAAACGCTCCCAGGCTCGGCTCATGTACTATCGACGATTGGTTTGGTACAGATATTACTTGCATGGACTCAACTTGGCAACCTAGACGCTGATTACCAGAATTCCTTCTAAAACTGCGTGTAATGTGGATAGCCACAAATTCTGAGAGCTGTCTTATTAATACCTGGTATATCGCCAGCTCCGCAAGTTTTGGGTTTGCAAGGTTGGGACTGTAGTAACCACGTCTGAGCAATGCTGTAGCAGTCGCTATTAATACATGTAGTAGTTAGTTAAACTTCCAGACGAAAAATCATACTAGTATTTGGAATCGACCATCTACTTAGTGTCGCTATTCACCCTGCTTCAACCGCAGAAGATAGCATTCCTCTGCTTTTTTTTCTCCTGTTCGAGGTATCTCTACATTATGTGCCTTCTTTCGGTAAGCCACAACGTGTTGATATAGTCAGATTGCGACGATCCGGCTGAGCTTGTTCATGTTGAGTATCACCTTTTCCTCGAACACGACCGGTTCACCCTGACTCGCCACAGAACTGGAGCGTACACTTAGTTTGCCATAAGAGTCCGAATGCAAAGGATCCATCGATAGTGAAGGTCGCAAATGCTTGGGACCGCCTGAACCATAGGAAACCAAATAGCTTGTCTTGATCTCGAAATCACCGTCGACCTCCGGAGTATTGTTGTGCAATGCTGAGACCTTATAGAGTTGATCCAGATCCAGAGTATACTTCTGTTTGGAGCCACGCTTAAAGTACGTGATGGACGAGTCGAGCCCGCTCGCCCCGGGCAGCTGGTTCTCCACATTGCTTCTTGACATGTTTAAGGTGTCAACATTGAGCGACAGCATCTTGGATATTTGCTGAGAGAATTTGTCCAGTCGTTTGTCGATTGCACGGAGGCCCATGACACATCGCACGCAGAACTTGGTCTGACAAATCGCCGTATCGTCCGCAGGTTTGCAGCCGTATCCTTCTCCCATGTCCGCACCGGGCACAGCCCGGGTAACGTAGCAGGTCTTGCAGACCACGTCACCGCATAGTCGACAGTGGTGTCGCCGCCGATACATGAAATGGAACTTGCGACTACAGATGCTGCACGAAGGACGGTTCTCATCGGGGACCCAGTTCTTGTGAAGAGCCAGCGTTTGCGTTGCGATGTTCTGGGAGTCGATCACGAGTGAAATATCATTGAGAACCGCCATGTTGAAGCGGTACTGGGCATGCGCAGTAATCGACGACTCGCTCGTCTCAGTGGCGCCCATTACAAAGACGTCGGAGGTCGCCTTCGGTGTGTCAGAGGACGGGACCACGAGCATCGTGCGCTTCATTCGCACACGTGTTAGCTTCATGGATCCTGTAAGTTCTGGACATTCAGGCACATCGACCGACGCCATTGCCACAAACCCGATCTCCTGTCCGTTTGTGTTGGTGGTGTAGCCCACAATTTCCACAAAGCAAACATCACGCTTGCCGGCGAACGAGTTTTCAGCGATCCATTTGATGCCCAGATAGCTGTCCTTCGTAGCGCGGATGGTGTGCAGAACAGCACAGTCAATTACTACAGGGGACAACAGTTTTTGTTGCCGAACGAAATCTTCAGAGTTAGAAGCGTAGTGTGCATCCACGATATCGCGATAGTTGCCTTGGACGCGTCCGAACGTTCGGAATGATTGCAGTGGTGGTCGGTGGCCAAGAAAGTCACGGTGTCCTACCGTGGCGCCAACGGTACGACGGGAGAACGACAACCGTCTGTGACGGCTTCGAACGCTACTTCGACTGCGCATGGTCCAAGTGTGCGATCCAGTACTGATACGGTCGTTGACGTTGCATGCGGTCGCTCGGGTGCTTCGATTCAGTGTAGTAGCCCAGGAAGAGGTTGAGCAGAAGGAGTCCGTCCCTCGGAGTTTAAACGTCTTAAGCTGGCCGAGTGAGTTCACAAAGCGCCATTTCGGGTCTAGAGTGTTATCCGTGGCGAGCTGAGCGGTGCGTGCTTGAATAGCGTCCTGCACCTGCTGCTTCATCATCGCTTCGAGTTTTTCAGCTTGGGAGCGAGAAAGCGACACCGGCGCGAACACCATTGGCGTGTGCGTTACCATTGCTACGAATGATTTTGCGGTGGGGCGAAAGTTAAGAAATGGACGCATGAAATGAGCAGCATGCTTCTAGGAGGAGCGTCGCTATTATAATGTGTGAGTACAGCTTGGGTCTGCGACAGCGGCATTTCACCCCGAAAGAGAAGGGGTTGCTGCCACTGCTCGTCGACACATGGTAGGACGAATGGTGCTGTCGAAGCAAAGCAAGGTTGGTACTGTAGACCCACAACCCACTATAACCCCACATGGTTACCTTTTCGAGATAACTAATGGGACCTGGTCTGAATGTCAACATTGTGGAAAATGTATGGAATTGAGCTTGCGGATACTTTGGTACTTTCTAAAAGAAGCGAGGAGCGGTAAAGATTGCACAAACTACACATGTACATTGCTGCAAGCGTGCTACTCCTTTAGACGTTCGAATCGCGGTTCACATCTAAATAACTTAAACTGTAACCTTTGACTTTTTTAATGATTTGGCGATCTGGATGCATCATTTCGTTCTGAACTTCTATCGCGCGTCAAGATCACCGTGCTTCCTTGCTTCGGTACACCTGTCCAAGATCTCGAGAAATAAGCTGTACGGTGTCCGTCGTCCTTTCCAGCATCCGCGTTAATTCGGCTAACGAGTCCAGTAAAAGCGACCAAGGAGTCCACGTTGAACACGACAAAACTATTCAGTGCTGAAGTCGGTGCCCATCTAGGTTGATGGGCGTTTACAGTCAGCAGATCAGATCACCATCAACCTGGTTATTAATACTGGCCCTCTTCATCTTTGTTGAAGTAAGCATCTCCGAGTGATGATGACTATCTAGTGGAATATAATTGTGCTATTTCATATAGAGAAATCGTAAATAACTGGACTGGTTGGTGGAGAGTCCAGAACACCGGACTCTATAATTCATCACTTCTTCTTTTACCAAGTCCAACACAAGCGTCTTCTCCTTTTACCAAGTCCGACACAAGCGTCTTCTCCTCCTACACTCGAGACTTCCTCTCCACTAGACCACTCTACTTTTGTCCTCACTCCATTCTGTGCTGCCCTAACAACTCTGCGCAAATCATCCCTCCAACAATCTTCATTGCCGTGAAATCTAAGCACTATTTAACAAGGCATGCTCAATCGCGTATTTTCTTACTTGTTAGCACTCTTATCACGTAGCCTTTTCCACAATCAGGTAACGACAAATGAATCGACAACAAACGCCATTATCGTAAGTGCTTACGTGCAGCCGTAGTTCTCGATGCAAAAGATCTTACCAGTACGTAAGTGGGAATAGCGGCCCACAACTCACGGACTCGCAAACCCACATTATTCTATTTTTTATTATTCTATTTTTTTTTGCGAGGGTTCGTGATGTGAAGAGCGATGAGCATCCTGCAGTTTTTGCAGAAGTAAACAGTCCGTATAAGTGGGAAGAGCTACAGGTGAAAAGTGCAATTAGTCTGGACTCGCAAATGGTCTGGACTCCAATACAGTCTGGACCCGACCATTCGTGTCGGCTGGACGAGCAGCTTCAATCCAGACTAAATAGATTTTGCAACCTTTCGTTCTGCACCAGTCCTTTCGGGCTGCCTACACCACATGGCCTGCTCTTCCAGTAGCTACTACACCGCCACTCCGAAATACGCCTCGACAACCCTGTTTGCCTTCGAACCAACACCAATATGAGCACTTGCAACGGCTGTGGAGGCGATTCTGCGAGTGTTTCGCATAGATGCGATGTATGTGGCAACCGGAATCACGTCTTTTGCGGCATTGTGCTTGAAGAGAAGCAGGGAGGACACGTGCGCTGCCAAAGTTGCCATTCAGATGCTGAAACGCTATCTCAACAGCGTCCCAATCAGCAATCTGCGTCTAGTAGCACAACCGTAGCGACCCTACTCCACCATTCAACCGCCAGTGCGCAGCAGAATCTACAAGGTTTTGTTGTTACGTCCTCCAAGTGTGCAGCAAGTACTCGTGCTACCGATATCGGCGCGAGCTCGGCTTGTGATGAGCGTACAGAACATGCCCCTGGAGATATAAGCGGTGTGCACAACAACGAATCGATTTCTATCGGCATCATATCTCCAGGAGAGCTTGGAAAACGTAAACGAAACCCACAAATCTGTTCGACGCTTCGTGATCGAGAACGCGTGGTGCAGTTCATGCAGCAACTTTTTGACAAGGGCGAAAAGCAGTTCAAATCGAAGGCGGTGTATGCTTACCCCACCGTTTTTCGAGCAAATTACAAAGCTAACGTTCAGAAAGCAAGCGACTGGTGGAATAATCATATCAAACACTTGCAAAACGAATCTCGGGCACGACGGCCTAAGTCAGCGGTTAGAGTTCAAAGAGGAGTGCGCAAACGTCTTGATCTCAAGGCCCTGCCAGGTCGAGGACCAAAACGTGCCCCATGGGTCGAATGGGTACACAGCGTTTTGCTTGGCGAGTTTTGCCGCCTTCGCAAGTCGGGAGTTAAACTTTCTCGCGGGCTACTTCTTGAAATTGCCCAGGCATCGTTCGATGAAGTTGGTTGTCCGTATCAAGCAAGTACAGATGATGGAAAAGGAGTGATTTTTAAAGATAGGATTACTCCGCTTTGGATACAACGCTTTTGCGATCGATTCGATGTGGTCTCTCGCCGCCAGTGTGGCAACCTGGACTGTAGTGAAGAGAAAAAAGAGGAAATTGAGCGAAGCGTTGCAGCCCACCTTGGACGCATAAAATCCTTGTTTGACTCTGGTGATATTGATGAGAATACGACTTTTAACATGGATGAAGCTCATTTCGTCATAAATATGGACGACGGGAAAACATTAGGCTTTCGTGGAGACGAATCTGTTCGGTATCATGATGTTGTCAGTGGTGGGGAGGGCATGACTCTAGTGATTAAAATACGGGGAGGAGCAAGTGCTCGAATCGAGCCTCCCATGATAATTTTTCAGAACGCAAACAGCAGTTATCCAATCCGTGGCCTAAAGGATGATGTACCTGGTGTTACATATCGATCTGGACCCAAGGGCTGGATGGATCAGCGAGTGTTTAGCAAGTGGCTCTCCGATAAGAAGTGCAACAGACGGGAAGCGCATGATGAGAAGCAAGTTATTTACATGGATAACGCAAGTGGACACAAGTTGGATAATGTTGCAAGCATATTAGACGAAAAGCACATTGACGTCAGATTTTTGCCACCGAATTCAACACATTTGTGTCAACCAGCAGATTCGTTTATCATCAAGTCGATTAAAAGCATTTGGAGAGCCGAGTGGGATAAGGAAAAACGACGCTTGGCACAGCAAAAATGTTTTTCAACGCCTAATAAGGCTGGTCAGTGGTCAGGTAAATTGCAAAACCCAGGTAAAAGGTTTTACCTTGAGCTTGCAGCACGGTGCGTACGCAAAGTGAATCAGATGCGCGATGACAACGACACAACGTATCCTCGTAAAGCAATGATAATGTGTGGATTATCAAAAGGCTTGAACGGTATCTGGGAGGAGAAGCAACTTTCATCAGAGCTTCAAGAGATAATTAGTAAGTACCGGGATAACTTTGAAAGTGGTGAAGTGTGCTAGAGTGACAGATGAATAGATAGTTTCGCGAGCTTGTTTTTCTTATACATTCATTTATAGTCTGGGTTCCTATTTAGTCTGGACTCCCTCGGCTCAAATGTACCGCTTGAAAACTTTGCTTCGCATTTAGTCTGGTCCAGACTAATTGCACTTTTCACCTGTAGCTATTATACCGGTAGGTGGTCGTCGGCGCTTGTGGAATGCTCTTGATGCTTACAGTACCGCATCAACCTAAGCAAAGCTAGCATGGTTTCAGGCATGCCATTGAAGTGACCGCGACACCTTTTCTGACGTAAACGCTTTTCTTTGGTAATTAAAAAAATGTTTGTTATTCTAGCTGTGAAATCGCTAAGGGATCCCCCCAACAAATATCCTAGCCAGCGAGTATATTTCAACTATGATTTAGGGGAGGAGGGGGGGGGGCACTTTTTTTTAAATGATGACATACCGTAATTTACCTATTTTAAGCCATTGCATCGTCGTCACCAGGGATTGATAGTAATGGCATTTTTGTCGATCTGATTAGTAATATTTGGAGAACAAATTTTAACCTCATAACTATCAATAGAGATCTGGATCGGCATCGAACCTACAGTGGTTATTAATATTAATATTTCAGCTTTTAATAAGAAAATTCTTTATCTAATCAGGGACTTGAAGAGCGAAGCTCACGCGATTCTCTGACATCAAGATACGGCTTGGAAGTACGTCAGGCCGCTGGTAAGTGGCAAGCTACAGTATTTACTCGAGGATGTAGCACTTGATCGCGTTCCTGAGGCAAGGAAACGAGATATTTTGGCGGCTTTATTGCTCATTCGCTGTGGCTATACTTTTTCTTGACTGTTGATTACATGTAGTTACACCGAAGCATCGAAATCAGTACAAGGTTTGCAGCATCATTAATCATATCGATCATAAAGCTAATCCAGCTTGTAGCCCCAGCTACTGCGAGCTGATTGTACATCACCAAGGTGAGTTGATTGTAATTATTTGCTAGACATGAGTGATTCTAGCGACTAAGTGACTTGAGTACTTATTGTCGTAGAGCAACGAGTATAATCGCGGCGATGGAGCGAACAGTGAAGATCGAAATGTCTACAAAGACGCACAATATTTTATAACTCCACGGTATGTTGGTTTAACACCAGATATTGGCGAGATATTGAAACAATAACTTTTTACTGATAACGACAACCATAAACATATTTTCAATGATCTACACAGCGTCGAGACTAATGATCATCTACAATTACACGGCGTCGACGTATACAATTACAATACATCGCTGAATGAAGCAAACTATGTAAGTACTAATGGAATGTTATGCTTGTTTGTCAATGCTAGCACTGTGGCCCCAGTATCGTATTTTAAACGATGCCAGAACGCCAACGCTCATTCGTCGAGGTAAAGCTCGCATTTGTCTTCTAGCCAGAATATTTCACGCTTGTTATGCTTCAAAATTACTTGTTTTTCAGCTCGGAGGTTCTCCGTCCGGGTGCGAAGCTTGCTCATGACAAGCCCACCAGTAGAAAATACCCGTTCTTGGAAGGCGGTCGTCGAGCTGCGTCCGCACCATACTCTGGCCATTGCTGCAATTGACGGAAACACTATTTCACCCGTCTCACGGAACCATTAACACAGGTCCACATGGTTGCATGTCTCGAACAAATTAAGACAAACTTGTCCATCTTGGCGCACATTCGTCATACGTGTTCTTAGTTCCTCTCTTGAGAGCCCATGCAAGTTTTGCCGCTCTGCAACATCAATCCACTTAGCAGAGAGCCCTTTCCAGCGTTTTAATTCTTGATCTGCTTGAGTGAGATAGTTTCCTTCGCACATCTCTTCATGTGTCTCCAACGGGTCGCCACAAATGACAAACTCGTCTTCATCACAAGTGGTCCTGCGTAAGTCTCTCGAAGTCACTGGAATAGGTCTCTGGTCACATCCGTTTTCATGTGTCTTTTTCAGCTTAAAGAGCTTACGAAGATCGTTCTGGAACAATGTTTCGGCTTGTTGGATAATTTGATCACGAAAACTATCGTCGTATGGGGAGCAGCTCAAAATCGACTGGACCGCAGATTTCGTTCGAGGATCAAGCAGTAGTGGCATGACATGCTCCGGCGTTAATGCTGGTGCTCGCTGGCGTAACTGAGCCGATATTCGGGCGATACAAGTTTGAGCTCCACCTAACATATCTTCCTTGGCGATTTTCAACCGAGGAAGGTTTTTCTCATTAGTGAGCGATGTTCGTCCCGACTGAAGATCATAACATCTGAACTTGTTCGCACTAAGGCGATTGGCAGCGAATTTAATTAGGATGATTGCTTCCGATGCCAGCAAGTAATCACGTTGAATCTCGATCAGTGCTAAGTGCGCAACAACATTCGTGATCCCATCCAGTTCAACAACTAAACACCAATCCTCATCCGACAGTGCAGTAAATACAGAGGGGTCATCACTTGGCTCAGGTGATTGAAAGTAGGCTCGAAAAGCTGGAAAATTCACAATCGATCGTTGCATTAGGCTTGACGAAGATGCAACACGGACGTCGACGTCAAGTAATGTAGATAGAAGCGGTAATTTCAGGTATTTTTGCAGGCTCTCAAGTCAATCTGCCCTCTGGGGAGTGGAGAAGTAGTTATTTAGCCTTCGTAACTTTCGAATAACTTTGGACCCTTCCGGAAGTGTGCCGCCTTAAGTCCCTACCAGTTTCTGCTTCTCCATTTGTTTGGTAACTGGGTCTACCACGTAACCCGTTCTCACGCTCTCTCGTAATCCCAGCCCGTATGAAAGACACAAGCTTAAAATGTGCATGTGGCAATCCGTTGGCAACGTGGCATCAAATTCTTTGGAAATCTTACGAGCGACAGGTGCTGTATCAGAGACACTGAACTTAGCCATTGCACCAATATCGATCCCATATCTTTCTTGACAGCCGTTAACAATCACTCTCTTCACTTCTTCAGCAGCGTGGGAGTCGTTTTTCACCGTCACCAGTAGCGAAATGAGATGCATGCGCCAGTTGTTATCGAGAAAGTTGACGGAAGCTCTAATTACACCCTTCTTTTCACAACTAGTGTACGTGTCGTGCATCAGTGTCAAAAATGCTCGACCATTTAACCGCTGAAACTCGTCGTGTAAGAAGCGGTTAGTCAGTGTTGTATAGCGATCATAAGATGCATCGAGAAGACCATTGTGTGTTGAAGGTGATAAAATCGTGAGCTGCTCCTTGCCTGTTACAAACCGAAGGCAAGAGCGAAACGCCTCAGATGTGACTAAGTTGTAGGGCCGTCCTAACCGGTATTACCAAATAGCATTAGTATCAATACACGACATAAGACAGTAACTCGCATTATATACTACATACCGTCTGAGACAAGCCAGTTCGAAACTGCGGTGTTGATTGCCTTGTCTGTAGGGCACCACAACATCTTTAGGGGGCCTGCTCGGGTCTTTGGTCCAGCCTCCTTTGCCTTGACACGCTTACTAGTTGTTGCCTGAATATTAAATCCGACAGTCATTTTTTTGTACGATTGCCTATCTTGTTTATCTCCTCCTTACCCAAGGGGTGATCTGGATGCATCGTTCGCACATGAACCTTGGCATTTGACGTGTTCGAACACCTCAACAAACCAATCTCCTAATGCGATGGGCTACTTGCAGGCTGGCTATCGGCCGTACATAGCAAGCAGATCGATGTAAACGAAGATTGGCTGCGCCCGCGAGACTGTTTGTACGGCTTAGCAAGGTCGTGGATAATTGACCAAGCTGCGTCCCTGGCGTTAGGCCGAGAGTGGTGCTCCACATAAACAGGTACCCCATGCGTGTCATACTCTGGTAGAGCTGATGGCGATGTTGCATTTGCTCCACAGGAATCATTAGGATGTCGCGACTCTGGCGGTGTGCTACGCAGGTTATTGACGGGCGAAACAGCAGAAGCACCAGTTTCTTTTACCTAAATATCTTGGTCAACTGGCGGCGGAGGTCCTAGGTACTGACGTAGACAATCAGTACTACAGAATCTAATGTAGACAAATGTTCACAACGCATTGAGTTTCACGACATGTATGGTAAAATACATGTGCACTGTAGCTTTACCGTTTTTCTAGTGTAGCATCAGCGTAGACGTCGTTGCTACACAAATGTTGAACACCTTTCCGACAGACACAACACGGCGACACTACTGATAGTTCTAAACAGCAGCAATGAATGGCAGCACACTTCATTATCTCGAGCCACGACATGTACAAACGCCCTCAAGTCAGAGCTTAACGGTTGAGAGGTGGTTGACTAAACCTTGAATGACACAAGGAGCCTTGTTTTATTTTGGTAGAGATGACTGGTGCTCAACCTCTGCATCTTTTGGAGATCGGGGTGGGGCTATTATTTATTATCGCTTGATTATAGTAATTTTGTGGAACTTAAGAATACTACATTGTGACTATTATTGTAATGATTTAATAGGTCGAACATAATAATTAATAGTAGTCACGATGCTATTTATTATTACAGAGTATTAGCAGATATCATTGTACTAGCAATCCCTGGTCGTCACTTGTGCGTTCGTTATTTTTAGGCTTAAACAACAAGAAGCGAACGGGCGCTGGTCTTAGCTGGCAGTGGAGAGGGCACACTTCCATCCTCACCAGGATGAGCTCGTTTGAGGCACCGAAATCCACACGCTCTGGCTCGCGCGTTGCAGCGCTAGGCAAGCGTCCGTCGCTCATGCACCGCAGCTCCGATCCCGAGTTCAGCGACGCCGAACTGGATGGTGCGACTGGCGAAATCTTTTTTTTTTCAAAGAAATTCAGTACTAATATCCCGCTATTCTGACTTCTAGACGCAGTCGATATGGGCGAAAACGCCGTGTGGGCCAACCTACAGGATCCTATTTACGCCGAAAAGGACGTGGAGATCTTCCGACCGACCCAAAAAGACTCGACCTTGCCCGTATATTACGCCAAAGGTTGGCTGCCGTTCCCAGCCGATACTCTATTCGATTCGCTCATGGACGCAAGATACCGCAAGACCTGGGACAGTACTGTGCACGAGGTGCATGTAGTGGAGCATCAACACGTCAGCGACGTCATGTATTTCGCTCTCAACTTGCCCTGGCCACTAGCCAATCGGGACTACGTCTACCGACGTCGCGTTAAATTCTACCCCACTCAAAACGCCTTTGTGGTGCTGTGTCAAGCTGCTCATCACGCAGACGCACCGACCAATGGGGTTCGTGTGAGAGTGGAGACTTGTACACTACGTCTTTGTATACGCAGCATGTCAAGCTCCAATGATTCCTGTGATTTCCACTTGGAATACGAAGACGACACCAACTTTAGTATCCCGAATTACGTGGTCAACATGATGCTACACACCATGATGTCATCGTTCATGACGGGACTGCGTAAGGCATGCAAAGGGTACGCGGAGTACATGAAATCTTTAGACGATGACGATGCACAGAGCATTCCGTCCCAGGTCGTGCGTCAACGCGCTGCAGTCCTCGCTGCAGCCACAACGTCAGTGACGGGAAGTGTAAGTTCTGTTAAAAGTACGAGCGTCATCGGTGCTTCTGTTACTGAGGAGCGCAAGCCTGTGCGCGCTAGTCAACGACCTCGAAGCAGTTTGTTCTTTTTAAGCACTACAAAGAGGAAACCTGAACTATTGCAGCTTGATACCGACGAACGTAGCTGCGTAAGTGAAGACTGGGGCGACGACACGCCTCGTAGTGAACCCCCAACGACGCAAAGCTTGCGTCCGTCCCCCACTCATCGCTCGGCCTCGACGGAGATTGACACTAGCAATGGAGCTTCTAGGTCCCACCTCAGCCATTCATCGTCCGCTAACAGTCTCGACTTCCTCGGCTCTTCGTCGGTGTCCGAGTTTTCTCTGACCTCTACACACACCCCACGTAGCGTAGACGGCGTGTCGACGCCATTGGATGACGACTTTACTATCAAGTTCCGTAAGCAAAAAGTTGGTCTGCATTTGGAGACGGATCTCTTCTCCAACAAGGTGCTTGTCGCTTTCTGCGAGAAAGACAGTGAAGCTGCCATTTGTAAAGAACGTATCGAGCCAGGGTTCCTCGTGACGTCAGTGAATGGCGTTGCAGTTAGTGACTTTAACTTCACAGAGGCTCTGGGTAAGATCCAGCGAGCTCCACGGCCACTTACGCTGGGCTTTACGCACCCTGATCGAGAAGCTTCTCTGCAATATCGACGCTTCAAGGAGCCACAGAACGTCTTGAAATGTCTTGTGTCTCGAGATGAGATCGATTTACTGGGAGCTCTACGTCCACTCGATGAGGAAGCGGCGATAAGTGCAGTCCTCAAGTGCGACTTTGTCGCACCAGCTGCCACCGTGTCAGCTATGGCATCGCTGAGTCCGAAAGGCAGTAGTCCAGCTCTACTGGATTCTCCGTCGAAGCAGTCCACGACAAATGTACCCAAGCTACACGCGTCTGCGTCAATGCCACAGCCAGGCAAGGAGCGTGTGCTGGTTCCAGCTGGCTACTTAGTGTACGAGATCAACGACTCGTATGTGTTGGACGTACCATTCGCCGAGATCGCTCACTTATTGCGTCGAAGTGGTGACGTCTGCGTGGTAACTTTCAAGGCAGCGATGGCCATTGTGGGCGGACCCAAGCAGCGTAAAAGCAGATACAAACTCCCAAAACGTCTACCTGGCGTGTTCCGGAAGATGAAACGTCGAGCGTCGGATGCGAGTATGACTGCGAGTATGAGCTCAGCTTCGGCGAAGAGTTTATCGTCTGACGGTGACACGAGACAACCAAAGGATGCAAATTCTGGTCTGGCGGACTATTACTCCGTTGCGGTCACAGCGAGCAACATCGATTGGGTGTGGCAGCAAGTGCTGCTCTTGAAAGTCACGGAGCGGATCTTCTCTGCTGCACTTCTGATTGACCGACTTGAGGCGTTTTTAACTGATACGGACAGCGCTTACACGAGCATTGCAGCTGCTAAGACGAAGATATTACAAGCAATGCATGACGAGAAGGAGATGATTGAACACGTTAAAGAACGACGTGATCAAGGTGTCAGAGCGCTAAAGGACTTTAGCGACAAAGAAGGTGACGACGACTGGCAGTTCGGTCAGACGATGCTGGGCGTCACGACGTCCTGGAAACCGGATGACGATGGCTCGGTGTGGATCAAGCTGGAAGGTCTCGTTGACGGCGTGGATATATTCAACACTATCTCCGTTATTCGCGAGGTGGATCTCTACAGTGTTTGGACTCCGTTTTGCTCCCAGTCTTTGCTGCTGCAGTCGATGGGTCACGTGGAACTTGCGGCTTATTTGGCCATCTCATCTCCATTCTTACAGCGCGACGCCATCATCCGAGCGTATGGCATTAACGCCGTTTATGAGCACAATTGTCTGCTGTTACTAGGAGGCTCCGTGGACGTGTCTTCAGTGAATAGCGCTGTGCCGGTTCCCACGTTGCAAGGGTGGAATGCCGGTCGTATGGAGATTAAGGGCTTCCGTGCTCTTATCGAGCCTCTAACACGCATGCAAGCTCGCACTTGTATCGTCGCGAATATCGATCCAAAATGTGCCATTCCGAAACCTATGCTGAACTTCGGGATCAAGAAGATGGCGGGCATTCTGTTGTATCTGATCCGCAAAGAAGCTGAAAAGATCGAGAACGATACCAAGAAGACGGAGACCAGCGCTACTAACGAACACATTCGACGTATCACGAGCGACCCAAGCGGCTTCTACACGTGGCTCCGACCTATTGTCGACAAATATTTTATCGATCAAAGCAACAAAAACCTGCCAGAGCCTCTGTCCTTGCCCTCTGACGCGCAGGTTCAGTATAACATACCTCGTGTGATTGTGAGCAAGAGCACGCGAACCGGCAGTCCACGACTAGCCAAGCTACGCAGTTCAACGCGCATTGCTGCGTTCCACCGTAATGGTGTCGGCGTGTCGGCTGATACACGATCTTCAATGGAGACGTCCCCGGCTTCCAGCAAGTGCTGGGGCGACTACCTGTACGACGTCGTTATCTGGCCGTATTTGCTGCTATTTATCGTCGCCAAGATGTCTGCGGATCTCTCTCTACTGTATGCGTGTATGATCAAGTTCGTCTTCACCTGCACGTGCACTTACCTGGCTGTTCCCGGTACGTTTCCTCGAGCCACGCGGCATTGGAAACGAACCCGCAACGAGCTCGAGCCTCTTCGACGTCAATGCGTTGTGCTGGCCGCAATCTGCGACGTCCTGAGCTCGTACGCGCTGCGTGTATGGGTCCGGTGGGTGCAGTGCTATCTCTCCGCAACGCTGAATGGATCTGCTGGCTGCTTCTCTCGGTCGCAAACGGAAGTGCGTGAGTCGGATCAGCTCTCTATGATGGTCTTTGGTTTCCTATACGCCAGCGCCATTGTTGGCATGCAGATTGCAGTCAACTTCTAAATACTCAAATCAAACATCAACGATCGCAAATGAATTGGCGAAAGCTTAACTGCTAAGTTCATAGAAGCTCGAGATTGTTTGGAAGCTCTGTCATTGGTGAGGATGTCTCGGGTAGAACTTTTTAACCGACCTGGTGCGCAAGGGTCAGCGACTTTAAATCACCTGCCCCGGTTGAAGCTTGTGGTAGCGCATGATAAACACATACTTATAACATGGGAGCTACAGTACCATTTTTTAGTTGCACTCTGTAGGTGTGGACCACCGTATGAAATTCTGATACTTACTTCGAAGTATACATCATGCCGTGATCCACAAAAACTTCTAAAATGTGCACATTTTTTCCAGCTGGAATTCTGAAAAGACCCTAAAAACCGGTCCACACCTTACACAACTGATACCGGTACCTGACGAATTGGACCAAGAGATGGCAAAGGGCGAGGAGGTGAAGGCTAATGGCGGTGGCTGGAAGATCAGTCCCATGCGCTTCATGCAGATGGCACTGGCGACGATGGTGCTTTTCTCTCTGGCCTACATGTATCAGTTCGTGTCTGTGAGTATCTCGCTGCGCTCAGCCGTGGATTCGGAGGATGAAGACGGCACTGGCCTCGTTCGCAACCGCGTGCTGGGCCACTCGGTGCTGCATCTGCAGGGCTTTGAAGCAGGCCACACGTTTGTCAGTGAGTATGATGTGGAGAGCCAGGGGCCGCTATACATTCTGTTCATGAGCGACGCTGATGAGAGTGGCAAATACTGGTGCCCGGACTGCGAGCGCGCCAAGAAGCCCGTGATGGACGCCTTCAATCGCGCTCCTAGGGGCTCACGACTTGTGGAAATTCGCGTGGGGCCGCAAGCATACTGGGCCGACTACATGAACGAGTTCCGACAGAACCAGCTCTTCTACTTGGACCACATTCCTACTCTTATACGGTACGAAGGAGGCGGCAACTCGTCCACCATGCTCACCGAGTCCTTCTGCACAGACCCGGACTTGCTAGACTATGCATTCCGAGTAAACAAACCACTGGCAGGGGAGCCCAATAAGAACAAGGTGCTAACCGTGTCCTCCCCTAAAGAGGTGATCGACTACCTGGCCACATACGACAACAGTTTCCCGCTCTTCTTGTTCTTTGTATCTGGGTATCACGACTTCAACGGACGTCTGTGGTGCCCATACTGCGACCGTGCGGATGTGGCAGTGATGCACTACTACAATTATACAGCACCAGACAACGCTGTCATGGTGCGAGTGATGGTCTCGACGACGTACAAGCAGTGGAAGAAGAAGAAGAACCCGTTTAAGCAGCCAGAATTCCAGGAGAAGGTGGCACCAGTACGAGGCGTTCCCTTCCTCGGCTTCGTCAAGAAGGATGTACCGGCCAACAAGATCAACGTGCACCAGTTCATGCCAGACTACCCGGAGACGAACAAGCTGAAGACGTTCTTTAAGAACAAGCCACGGATGGCGAGACCCAACTAGAGAGCGCTTACAGTAATATCGTTGTAACATGTAAGTTTAAGCTGGTGTTTAGAAATGGGTCACTTCAAAAAGAGAACATTTAAGCTGCAGTTTAGCAATTGACCTCAAATTAGAAATGAGGTCGAGCAATACCCGGCGACGAGGGTCTCATGGTAGAGATGCTAGTGTCTGGCTGCGCCGAAATGTGTGGCTAGTGGCTGCTTCGACCCTTGTGGTCATCTACTGCGTCTTCATGGTATACACGACCATGTGGGCGCGAGGCCTTGATGCGGTGGAGCGGGTGGAGGAGTCAGATCAAATGGCCGAGTATAGCGACGCCATGCAGGACGCGATGACTGCATTGAAGGAAATGGGTGCGATCAGGGGAGAAAACACGCACGAAGAAGCAGAAGAACAGGCCGAGGAAGCGGCGGAGAATGGCAGAGAGCAACTAGTCAATGGAGAAGGAGAGCAGGAGAACGTGGGTGAGGAGGAGACCCATAACGCTCACGCAGCAGCGACAACGACCCCGCGTCTTCGCACAGAAACGGAAGACACGGTGGCATACGATGATAAAATGTCTCTCGATGATGCTGGCGATATTCCCATGGTTGGTACAACGGTAGAAGCCGAATTAGAAACACTGACGAGTGATAAAAACAAAGAAGATCAAGAAACAACATCTTCGAGAGTGGCTGTTGCTTCAGACAACAAAGGGCCTGCACCGTTGATGGCAACAGTGAGTGGCAGTGATCACTTGTGGACCGGTGCGGATAAAGTACCCGTTGTCGGTACGCAATTAAAGGTTTCTATGCCTGATACTATTTCATCAGCGATTGATTTTAGTTCGCATCTAAACTCTACACAAGCTGTTCAGGTGAAGTTGAGTGATTTCAAGTCGAGACAATTCGATAAATCCCGACTTGTATTGGAGACACCGGAGCAATTAAACGCTTCGATTCCATTTGACAAGCGACACCATGTAATATTCGGCTACAACGCGACTTTGGCGTATCTCCAACTCTATACGAAGCCTATCGACTCAAAAGAAGAGCTGTTCCTCTTCTTTACATGCAGCGGCAGCAAAGGCGGTCGAGATGACTGGAATCCGAACTGTGCCACTGCTCGCGAGAAGGTCTACGCTACATTTGCCAAGTCACCATCTACGAATCGTCTGGTTACCATTCACGCAGGTCCTCGTGAGGATTGGATGGGTGGTAATGCCTTCACTGACGATGATGATCTTCGTCTTAAGGCTGTTCCCACGCTAATGCGTTGGGACGGCGGTGTGCCCGGTGCTCTACGCTCTACGTGGGGTGTCCTAGTGGATAATTCGATTCTTTATGAGCCGCTAGTGCGCTATCTCTTCCGCAATGCCGACGAACAAGACAAGTTACTAGCGAAACCAGAAGTTGAGACCAAGGAGATCGTTACACTGAGAGGTTACGCACAGTACCGAGCGTACGTGGAATCTTACGCCAATGATGGGACTTCGTACCCTCTTTTCATGATGATGGTATCGGGTCGATTCCAACGCAACAACCGCTTGTGGTGTCCGTGGTGTCGACAATCCGAAATGCCGGTAGAGTATGCGTTCTATGCCTACGCTCCAGCCAATGCCAAGCTGGTCCTTGTGGAGACGTATGACAAGTACAGTGAGTGGCGGAATCCCGAGAACGCATTTAAAAAGGATCCTCAGCTCGCGATGAAAGGAGTACCGTGGTTCTACCGAGTATATCCAGGCCCACCTGGAGCGGCACTCACTTATCAGCGTGTCAAGAAGAAGTTCTACATACTCGAGGCCTTGCAGCAGGTCTTCGAAGACTCCGGATGAGCTGCAAACTTCAATGAGCTCGGTATATATTACGGAATCAGATATTTTAGAAATGGTAATACTACCAACAGCTGTACGAAATTTTAGCCAATCAAACGGCAGATAGTATTGGGTACGTGGCAGTGAACCGTATACTTGCACTCGACGATGACGACGAATGCGCACCGTCATGCCAGCAGCGCCCGACGGCGGCGCTGGCTAATGATGGCTGGGGGCGTCTTCGCGCTCTGCTGCATGCTCATCTTCCAGGTGCGCTTATGGTCAGCAGCGAGCCACGCAGACCTGCGCGCCAACGTCATCAATGCAGATAAAGCCCCCATAGCAATCGACCGACCGTCCGTCAAGCAGGACGACGAGCACCGTGAAACTAGAAAGGATGTCGATAGAACCCAACAGCCTTTTAACCCTCAAATTGTGGAGCCTACACAATCTGTCATCGGGACAGTGGCTGTGAATGAGCTTCAAAATCTAAGAGCCGTGGACCCTCCGCTGTCGACTCCAGGCGCTGTCATTGTTTCGACACCAGAGCTACCGGCTACAGAAGCTGTTGTACCAGCACCAATATTTCAAGTCCCGGTCACTCCGAGTGTAACCACTCAAGCGAAAACTTCACTTGCGGGTCGCCACGATATTGTCTCTGGATACGCTGCCACAATGAGGTATTTGGCCAATTACAGAGCGCCCGAAGGCTCCGATGAAAAGCTCTTCCTGTTTTTCGTGTGTGGTGATGAGAAAGGTGAACAGACGACGTGGCGGCGAGTGTGTGTAGACGCATCCAAGTTAGTTTATGACGTATTTGCAAAGTCTCCGGCGCGGAATAGGCTGGTGACCATCCACGCAGGCTCGAAGCAGGACTGGTCCGCAGCGAATGCGTTCTTCAAAGATGGAGATCTAAAGGTCAAGATGATTCCCGCACTCATGCAGTGGCACGGAGGGTATCCTGGTGCAAAGCGAGCCACGTCCGGTATGATTATCGAGGAGAGCATTCTGTACGAACCGCTTCTACGCTACTTTTTCAAGAACCAGGATGTTCCAGATCCACTGTTAGCACCGGAAAAGATCGCTTTGAAAGAAATTGTCGTGCTACAGGGATACAAGAACTACCGGTCATACATCGATGGTATTGCAGCCGGAAACAACCCGTCCCTGACCGCTCCGACAGGTCCAATGTTCCTCTTCCTCATCGCCGGGCGACTGGGCAACAACGACCGTCTCTGGTGTCCGTACTGTCGGTACTCTGAGATTTCTGTCGAATATGCATTCTACGCCTTTGCGCCACCAGGATCACGACTCGTGAAGGTTGAAACGGTGAACTCGTACGCCACTTGGAAAAACCCTGCGAACGACTGGAAGGGAGACAAGTCGTTGATGGTGCGTGGTGTGCCGTGGATGTACCGAGCAAATCTGGACGCGGAAACGCGTAGCTTCAGCTTCGAACGTGTAAGTGAACGCTTCGACCGGCCGGAAGCGCTGCGAGGAATCTTCCAGGGCTGGAAGAGCCCTATGTAATATTCATGTGAAACAATAGAGACTTTCAAGTTGAACACGCTTTTCCGATGGTCGCAAGTCTATTTCAAACGGCGTAATCAAGTGTTTTGAATAATCTGATTGGCTGAAATTGCACCTGTTTTCCGTTTTTCAGACTTTAAGAGACTTGACTTTAGACTTGACGTGGCAATGTCGGCGCCTCGGTATGGGCGCGACCGGCAGCGGCCACACCGCCGCGGTGTTCCTGGCAGCAAGCGCACGAACCCGTGGTACTTGTTGGCCGGTGGATTCTTTGTGGTGTACTTCATATTCCTGGTGCGCTGGCGATTTGGAAACGTTTCTAACCTGGAAGGTTCCGCTCCAACCGAGCAGCTCAGCAACTTGCGGAAGGCCAGCAACCCAGTGCACATTCAGAGCGATGACGCACTGGACGTGGAGATCGCAGCACGATTGGAAGAGCAGCGTAGAACGGAGGAACGCGCACGTCACATCCCCATCAAAGTAGTGCTCCCGACGACTGCCCCACCCACTGAACCTCCAGTCGCTACGACGGCAGCTCCAATCGCTGCTACTGCTGCTACCGCGACCGAAAAGCCCAGCGATTTAGAGAAAATGGCTGCCGGTCAAGATCTGGAAGGACGCGTGCCGGGGATGCCAGTGCAGATAGCGGAAGAGGAGCCAGAAATGCAGGTTACTGCAGCCCCACTCGCGCCTGTCGAGCCTGTCGTGGCTCCTGGTACTCCCGAACCAATTGCAACGAAGGCTGCCCCCGCCCAAGTTTCGCCGGCACCGACGACAGTACCGTTCGCGTCAAGACATCTGACGATCTCGGGATATAGCGAGACGATGAAGTTCTTGGAGAACTACCAGTACAACCCGGACGAGTCGTTGTTTCTATTCTTCATGTGTAGCGACGAGCAGTTCAAAGCCAGTGACTGGTCCGAGGAGTGCGCGAAGGGGAAACAACACGTTTACGACGTGTTCTCCAAGTCCCCCGGCCGCAACCGGTTGGTGACGGTATTTGCCGGTTCCGAGAAATACTGGAAACACCAGAATGAGTTTTACAACGATCCCGATTTGAGGGTGAAGGGCGTGCCTTCCATCATACAATGGGAAGGGCGCAGTGGTCGGACGTCAGGAATGTTGGTGCATATGTCTCTATTTGACGAGCCGTTTCTGAGGTATCTGTTCAAGAATACCGACCAGCCGGAGCTGCTCTTCGCAGCGGAAGCCGTTAAGAACAAGCAGATCATAACGGTGAATGGCTATGACGCATATTTGGACGCCATGGTCAAGTACGAGAAGGAGGAAAACCCGGTCCCCACCTTCTTAATGATGGTCTCAGGGCGATTCCGGAATAACAACCGACCTTGGTGTCCGTACTGTCGGTACTCTGAGTTGCCGCTAGAGTACGCGTTCTACTCGTTCGCTCCGAAGAATGCGCGACTGATTCGCGTCGAAGTCACAGACTCGTACGCCGAGTGGAGGAAGCGCACGGAGTTCACCGCCGATCAGAACCTGCAACTTAAGATCGTGCCGTTGATGCTCAAGATCGACCAACTTCCTGCGACGACTCCGAACGGCCCCAAATCGGTCAAGTTTACCCAACACAAGATTCGCTACGACCGATTGACGCCGTTACGCGAGCTCTTCACGAGCTACGCGTAAAGAGGCAAAGGCGACATTGTCCATAACTGTGTCTGGTTTACTGAAATCTATAGAGCTCGATTTCTCTTTGTATATTTTACTTTTTTTTAAAGTACAGGACTACATCACCTCCTTATACTTGACATTGAATACTGCTCTATCTTCTTTTCGAGCAGGGAGACTCTGTCTCGACGTCTCTGATGCTTGGTCGACAATCCCACGCTCTCCGAGGAACGCTAGGTATCTCGTGAAGCTCAAACCGAGAAACTCCTCGATCATTCTAGACACCACACTGATCTCACAGTCAGCACTGTCGGGCTTGACGCGGACGTGTTGACGAAGACTTCGAAGGGTGTTCAAGCACATGACTACAAACTGTTGGAAGCGCGCTTTACGCTCGTTGATGATTTCGTCTTCATGCGCATCGGCAGACGAGCTGGAGAAGATATGCGACCCCCACACTTGTCGAGACGGGAAGTCGATATCCAGGATCGAAGCGAGTACATTCTCGCAAATGGGACAGCGCGGTTGACGACGACGTTTGCCTCGACTAAAGTGCTTGATGAGCTGTTGTCGCAGGGCGCGAAACTCCGAGAAGCGACGCACTACACGCCACCGATTCTTGCTCAAATGCACTTCAACCTCATAGAAGACGACGTTGTCTCCAGCTCGTTCAATATGCTGTCCCGTCACGTGCGCTAATAAATACTCCGAGTACTCTGCTTCTTCTCGAAAGAGAAGAAGATCCTCACTACTTTCTCGAAGCACAACCGTGCTGGACCGGGGCGTCATGCTCGGCTCTCTGGATGTTGGTCGATGTGAGGACCGACTGTCGCTGGTGGTAGATGACCTTGGAGTGGCTGAAGCGAGAGAACCGTGCGTGTGTCGTCTCAAACTGCGCCTGCCTTCGTTCGGGACACCACCGCTTCGATCGCGGGACAGCAGATTGCGAGCCGACATGCTGCAACGCCAAAGTAGTCTGGGGAACTTGCCGCCTTTTCTCGATGATGCTCGAGTTCTGACCGGGCGTCCGAACGGGTCGGCAGGGAAGATGGACTGCCTCAAAACCTCATCTAGAGAGCTACATGTTGACTCGGTGGACCGCATGGGCGTATTCGACGCGCACATGGCGTCGCTTAGCCTCATGTTTGACAAAGAGAAGAGAGAATTCTGGATTGTGAGGGGCTGTAGCAGAATGAGAAGTGCCAGTGATGGAGGCTAGGCGAGTGTTTCCCATTTTTGCGCTGGACTGCTGGGTGTAGTGCTATCGCACGTTTTTTCGAGACATCAAACTGGACAGAGGTCTATCCGACTTGAGACGGCGAACAGCGAGGGCGGGATATGAATAGCGAACTAGATCCCACCAACGGGGGAGAAGAGTTTTCTTGGCGTTCATGTAACGAGGCAGAAAATAGCGTTGACATGGTCAGTCGGAATACTCTGCCACGAGATCTTGGGCGATATGTGCAGATACTGCGCTGGCGGATCGATTGGAACGCAGCATCGCTGCCCTTCGACTGCGATGATTCGAAACGCTCGTTCGCTCGAGCGTACAAAGGCCATTTGGCCACCAGCGCAACTTCCGTCCTCAAAGACAGGATTTTCTGCTGGCAAGTTAAAGACTTTTTGACGAACGCATAGCGTTGAGTGGCGTTGCTGTCGCCATCACAAGTACCAACCGCCGTGTGCTCGTCACCAACGCATTTACGGTTCTGAGCGCTGCTACCAACGTGCCGACACGTTAGTGAGACCACGTCGGTATCATTATAATGTCATGTACTTTGAAAATGGATCCTGTAACCTTAAACTGAAAAAAATTAGATAATGGCAACGACCGAGATGATGCTGCAAGTCACCTGCAGCTCCACTGACCACTTGAGGTGACGATCAGCTGAGCTTCGAAGATCTACCGGCAAAAATACTTGCTGAGTCTCTATAGAATCTCCACCGGAGATAAATTAGAGCACCAACCGTCTCGATTCCGGGCTCAAGCAATTGCGATAGCAATTGCCACATGCAAAATTTGAAGAACCCATCTGACTCGTTCCCTCTCGGAATTTATGCGTCGTTTTAATATCAAGTTTCCAATTCACGGTCTCAACTGCATCAATTGCGCTCGCCCTTTCACGAATGCGACTGCTGCCGACGCGTTTCAAGCCGCAGTCGCACTTCTTCGTGCGATGTCAGTCCGGTGTTTCGTCTCGGGACTGGCGTCAAGTGGTGGCAGATTTCCAGCGCAAGGCGAATGACACAAGTGCGTCATTGGTGTCCAAAGACGTCGAGAGTGTCGTCCGCGTGTGCACGCAGAGCGATCGGACTCGAGAGGCTTTAGACGCGATCCGTAGAGGAGAAAAGCGCGGCGTCTCAGCCCCACTGAACTCGCATATGCAGATTTCCTGCGCTTGGGCTCGTAAGGGCCAAGCGGATCGGGCGTTGGCCATGATGCCGGAACTCCGCAACCAGTTTGGCGAACAGTTCCGAAACCAGTCGAGCGTCTATGATCCGCTGCTGTCGGAGTTTAAATCGCAGGGAGATTGGAGAAATACCCATGCTGCTATCGCGCAGATGCACGAACTGGGTGTCGAACCAACGCTACGTGCGTTCCGAGTGCTCATGTTGACAGCAGCGAAAGCTCGACGAAAGGATTCGTTGATGACAACGGTGGAGTTTGTGGAGAACAAGTTTCCTGGTGTTTGGACGGATGTGGCTACACTTACAGCAATGTGCCAGGCGCTTGTGGAAGCCGGCGAGACCCACCGCGTGATGGAGATCTACCGCAAGCTAGACAACGAATGGGTTCGTAATGAAGCCAGCACGATGCTGTTCAACCAGTTCCTTCTTGCTGCTATCCGCAATGGGGACAATACAAGTGACAGGAAGCGAGCGAACGATAAGAACGTGTCGAAGTCTTCAAGTATCCAGTTGGCGATGGGCATCTTCGATCGAATGCGGGAAGCTCGGAAAGCCGCTCCGGACGATTTCACCTTTGCAGTGTATATGATGGATCTCGAGAAACGTGGCGAGTGGGCACAAGTGCTGGATCTGTTCAACGCGATGTTAGACACCCAAACACGCAACCTTAACAACGACGTGAAGAAGCCAGTGATCAACGCACTGGCTTGTTCCGCAGTAATCCGAGCGCTACACAAACGATACGAAGCTAATAACGAGGAGAACAAACATGACGAGGAAGCTAACGCTTTTTTAAACGCAACGAAGAAATCGAAAGACCAGCAACGCAAACTGAAGCAGGACTTGGCGGTTGTGCTCCAGCAGCTTCCTACTGTGGATCTGCGCAACATTGGCCATGCGTCGACGTTGATTGATACGCTGGACGACTTGAGATTGTTCTCAGCAGCACGTCGGACTTTCAAACGCATGTTGGATGAAGAGATTATTCAGAAAACGCCATGGAGACTCAAGGACGGGTTTGAGATCGACTTGCACACATTCTCTCGTGGTGTGGCCAAGTGTGCGGTAGTGTCTGCTTTCGAGGAGATCACGCGCTCCCAACAGGGGATCAGCGACGTCTCTCTTGCTGGGAACGCACCGCTACAGAACCTTCGCATTATCACGGGCGTTGGGAGACGCAGCAAGTCGTTTTTGAAGCCTGTACTGAAGCAAGAAATCGTGGACTTGTTAACTCAGTCATGTCGTCCACCACTGTGGCCGTCGTCCCACCCCACCAACCCAGGTGTGCTTCTTGTACGCCATAATGCTCTTCGAAAATGGCTCAAGAAAGGTGGAGCTATTCGATACTTTTAAGAAATAAAAAAGCATGACCGAAGTAATTTATTTCGTCTCCTTAGTACTTCTGCTACCACTGTATGTGCACGTATCCTGCGGATCCGAAACTTTCCGGATAGCGTCCGTAATGGCGAAGAAGTAGGCGTGAGACTCGATTTCTAAATTGTCCATAAACCACGAGTCATCGTCGACTGCATAGGGCAACTTGTCTGCTGCTTCGAGGAAGGTCATGGCGTCCAGTTCTTCATAGCTGAGCCCCGTCATCTCGACGAATTTCCGAATCCGAAAGTCACGAGGAACTTTCCCAACGAGGATTCCATCGGGAGACTTTACAGTCGAATCCGACGTCATGCTCCGTCGATTCCAATTGGCTGATCCGATCGTCAAGAACACGTCGTCGATGATCATAATTTTGCTGTGAATGTAAATTTTCTGATCGGGTCTGGTGGTGTACAGTTTGAGTTTGTTTGGGTACTTTGCTCGGATCGGTTGAACCATTTGGTACAAATACTTGATGTATCCTGCGTTAGTAAACGGCCCGGTTTCTTCGTTCGCAATGACGATAAGACGCTGGATCTTCGGCATGACTTCCAGGATCGCGTCAAGAAGTTCCGGAATCAGCACCAAATACTGGTCTTCAATGTATTAATAGATGAAGTTTTTGGCATTTTGGATGGCCTTAATGTGGGCCTGGAACAACGAGGTTTCACCACGAGGAGCGAACTCTTCGTAGTGGTCGTACAAACAGCTGAAGGTTCGTACGATCTGGACACTTTGCTTTCCGAGTGTTGCTGCTGGCGTAGTCTACAGTGGGGGTAAGTGTTCGTACGTTGGGTTCTTAAAGTCCAGGACATCATCGTCCAGGACATCATCTTTAAGACTCTGACACGGCAGGTAGTCGGAGTTCCAGCGATCTAGGAAGTTATTGGCCACATCTTTTGCTGCTGGTCCGTGAATGCGAATATGACCATCCATCCAACCTTTCTCTCGAAACGTAATGTGTCCTGCGTCGCGAATTGCAGTCGCGTTATGGTAAATGGTGTCCCATCGCGAGGCCAACTCCTCCGACGTAAGCCACAGGCTGCTTATGAGGATTAGAGGAGCTGTTAACGGCGATCACCATATTCTTCTGGTGATGCGAGGACAGCGCTTTGGGGAGACGGTCGTCGAAGATGAAGACTGCCTTTGCTCCGTTAATTGGGGACGGCGTGATGCTGTTGATAGCATCTCGCGCCTTCAGGATGTAGGAAGTGTATCCAACGCCGATGTTGGCCCATGCCAGGATACTGACGCTCCCACCTCGCTCCACGATACCAGCAAATACCTCCTTGAAACCGGTCTCCTTACCTGTAGGATCAACATCAGGTTTAAGTGGAACGAGGGCTGCCATCCACAGGGCCCCCGAAAAAAAAATTGACGATACAGTAATTTCAATAAATAAGCAGACATTATTTATGTTGTCACCCTAAACTAGGCTCGTGCATAATTTATGGTGGCTGCATATTACATACGGTAATTTATGCGTACAGTTTCCTGAAGTTATCTGCAGCAGTCAATCGATCGCCACGAACCAGTCGTTTTGTTGCCGAATCGGCTGATCTCAGCAGACTCATTTTCTTTTCTCTCACTTCCCACGCCGACACTCCCGTTACCATGGTCTTCTCGTCTCGACGCAGTAAAGAGCAATCTTCCGCTGTCATTCTGTGAGAACGAGGCGGCCAAAAGGTAAGTCATACGCATTTCTAAAGTTGCCAGTGAATTTCTAACTTTTGTTTCTATTTGCTTTCTATAGGTACTCTAATCTTGACTCAATTTGTGTCGAGACGCTCGTCTCTGGCATGAGTAGTGTGACGCGGGCCGTGGAGCGTGGCATCGCTGAAGAGATACCTGACCTTTTTGGGCTAATCTTTGATGGGTGGTCTCATGCTTCAGATCATTACATTGCAGTGTACGCTCGCTACGAGGTGGACGGGGTCGTCAAGACTCCTCTTCTTTGTATGGCTCCACTGCTCAACGAGGAGGAGGAAGACCTCTCCGCCCGCGGCCACATGGAGTTTCTTGCCACTATGCTGCCTCGGGACTACGGCAAGCAGCTGGGCCAGTGCTGTTTCCTGGTGGGAGACAACTGCTCGGTTAACCGGCGGCTCGCAACGCTGATGGGTGTGCCGCTAATCGGCTGTGCCAGCCACCGCCTTAACCGAGCAGTGCAAGCTGACATGCAAGACTATGAGGACGAGCTGGATGCTGTCCAGAAGTTAATGATCAAGCTTCGTAACCTGAAGCAAAGTGCCAAGCTGAGGTAAGTTTGAACTGATAATGATGTAGTTAGAAACGTTTCTAATTGGGTTTCTATTTTGAATGTAGAACTAAAACGCCGCTCCGTCCAGTTATCCGCCAAGATACTCGATGGAGCTCCACTTTCGCTATGGTGATGCGGTACTTCACACTGCTGGAGTTTATCGACAGCAATGACGACGACATCGCAGATTTGCTGCCGTCCCCTTCGTACAACCGCCGTTTGCGTGCTCTGCTAGCAGACTTGAAGAAGGTCGAGTCCGTTGCAAAAGCTTTACAGGGAAGCGAAGTATCACTACTTGATGCTCGAGTGTGGCTGGATGGCTTGATTTCCATCAAACCACACTACGCTCGGTACATTGGTACGTGCAGCATATTTTTTCCTTTTCTAGTATCCATTGCTAATTTGTTTTGTATTCACTATGAACACTAGGCCCACGCGCTGAAATTGTTCACAGCCCTGACTTTGAGTCAGGGTGTGTACGGGTCTTAGGCGGCAATGCAGCCCGCCTCACGCGAGCTGAAAAAACAGTGTTGACTCCGTTCAAGTCGACAGGCCCTCCTGCAGTGAGTGAAGACGAGGACGACGGCGAAAGTTCGTTCGTCCAGCTGCTTCAAAAGAGACGTCGACTTGCCGCGAAGGAGACCAAGTACAAGCTCTTGCACGCAATCCCTGCGACGTCCAACGTGGTGGAGCGCTTTTTTAGCGTTGCTCGTACCACGTTTGGCCAAGAACGCCATGGACTGCAGCCCATTACTTTAGAAATGATTCTCTTCCTGCGCGAAAATGCTGGTTACTGGGACGCACAAACACTTGACACAGCAACTCGAGCGTAGATACCTGTTATTGATTCAATAAACCGTGTTTATTGCAGCAATAACTCAATTATTTATTGGTCTTCTAGCTAAAGCATCATAACGTATTGCCAACATACAAGCTAGCTTCGCGATAATTTATCGTGAAGATGCTACTACGATAAATAACAATATCATTTTCGGACCCCCTGGCCATCCACGCAGCCAGCATCACTCGGTCGCCCTCGTTGGTTGCGCTAAGATCGTCGAAAAGGGCATTGAAGAACTCATCGGACACTGTGTACGATGTTACCTTGTTGCCAGTAGTGTAAGTCGCCATACCGTCTCGCGGAATGCCCTCGCGAATCTGTGATCTCCTCTTCTGTAAGGAACCAATCTTCAGCGTCAAGCAGAGGTTGTCGGGGCTTGATGTCCGATCCATCGGACAGATCCGCGCTCCCGCTTGCTCGTACCGATACCGGTTCTTGCGCTGGTTGAGGACTCGTCGAATAAAGACGAGAATGAGAAAGCCGACGAAAAAGTTGACGCCGCTGCCAACGAGATCACCAGTGCTGTAACAAATGACATGGCGCTTGAGTGTCCACGAAGGCTTTTGGCTTAGTAAACGTTGCTGAACTATTAGAAAGTTGCGTTTGTTTTGTCTGAAGTGAGGCGTCGACTTGGAGCTGACGTATGCCGTGGCCCACCACTGGTGGAATGATAATGTGGATCTTCATGATAGAATTCGAGATTTGAACAGTCCACCAGTTGCTTTGGAGCAGCTTGTGGAAAAAGACGAATGTAGTCTCACGAATGCATCTGTCGATAAATCTTTTGCTTGGCATCTTGGAGTCACCCACGGCGAAATTAAAATTTGGTTCTTTAACGCGACAGGACAAAACTTTATTGAATTCGCCGCAACAGGAACACCACTTCAAAGAAGGGATTCGGTACAAGTAACACGTTCTGAGACGGTGCATTCGTACCCGTGTACCGGTATTCTGTCATCCGCTCAATTATATTAGTTAATTTGAGTGGGGGGGGGAGGGGGTCGAGTCAGACCTTCTCTTGATGCAAATACATGTACTGTACTACCAGGTATGCTTCGAATTACTACTACAGCAGTATAAACTCTCAAGTGTTTAGTAAGTGTTTCACAAATACTGTATCAGAACATTTTTACTTCGTTTCCTTAGTAGCTTCACTACCGCTGTATGTGCACGTATCCTGTGGGTCCGAAACCTTTCGCACCGCGTCCGTGATGGCAAAAAAGTACGCCTTGTGCTGGATATTATTGTTGGCGAGGATAGTTGATTCGTCAATAACAGCTTCAGGTAGCTGATCTGCGGCCTCAATAAATGTCATGGCGTTGAGCTTTCTGTAGCAAGTCCTGTCATCTCCACGAGCTTGCCAATACGGAAGTCACGCGGCACTCTACCAACCTTGACCCCTTCAGGCGATCTTACAGTTCTGGTGTCTACCACATCAGCATTCAACTCCGAGTCGGACGTCATGCTACGTTTACCTTTTTGCGTAACGTAATTTGCCAGTTGAGTGCCTGATTTTGGGCATGCTCAAAAGGTGCATCTAGCGAAAAAGGCACCAATTGTTGTTCGAATTGGGTCTTTAGAAATCAAAAAGGGAAAACCAACGCATATAATACTTATTTTTGCGTTTCTTACAAATGAACATGTAATGTGACGGGGTCACACAGCACCTTGCACAGAGGAAGTGCTTAAGGGTATTAACTACCCGAGTGAACGTAAGTCCACGTGCTCCGGCCTCAGTGGGAATGGTTTGCTACTTAGAGGAGTAGATTTAAGACTGATGTATTTATAAGTAAGATAAGCTTGGGTCTCTTACAGACTAGAGGTTACCTATAGTGGAGCTAAGTAGTCATGCACTGACTGGCTCCGAGAGCACCTGGTACCGTGTACCAGGTGTCCACTAGAGTGACGGGTCACTCTTTATGTAACATGGGGCACACTGGATTGTACCCCGTTACATCCTCCCGCACTTAACTGAGAATCACCTGATTCTCTAATCACAACTGATTCTCCAATCAGAGGTGAGAGAATTAAAACACCAAAAGGTGAATTCTCACCACGAGACTGGCGCGGCTCTCAGTCACACCCACAGTGACATGTGCTGCCAAAGCTCACTGGGATTTGCATCCCTATGCTCACAACTGTGTTGGCCGCAAAGCCTACACTCAGAGCTGCCTTAGCTCCTGCGCTAGCGCGCGTACAGTGCTTTGGCACAGGGTGCAATAGCATCCGAACGTGTGGCATTCGCCCACAGTTCGCACCAGAGGACACGACAGTCCTCGCGAACGCGTCCGGAGCATGGTGTCTCCCGCGAGGGACGACACCGAGAAGGGCAACACCTTCCCCAGCACTAGAGGGAGCTCTCAGCTCACCTCGGGCCATGCCTTTGGCTCTAGCAAGGATCCATCCTTACGGGCGGAGCTTCTGCCACGCTCTCTTCACGTCTTGGTCACCATACCAACGGCGCGTAGGTGTCCTTCATCAACACACATGGTGTAGGTGTCTCCCATCGACACCATGTACCGTACGGTACTAACCTTTGGTGCGGTACGCCCACCACAAGGCTGCCATGTTTGGCGGCAACAGCTTCTGCTGTGCTGTCGCCTGAACAGATTAATGGCCAGTGCTCGCATCATGCACGACGCATGTGCAAGCACAGTGTACAGGTCCATGGGCCCGTACACGAGGTACGCTGTGTACGACACGTACCACAGCTACCATAAGTGCTCCGTGCACGTCATGTGTGTCATGCACGACGAGTTCATTACGTGGAACTCCTGGCAGGCTGCTCGACAGCAGCCAGTGCCGATGAACGGTACGTGCGTTGACTCACAGCGTCCAGAGCGCATCGGGTCGTGGTATGGTGCACATCCTTTGCACCTATACCAGTGTCTGTCACAGACTCCATGTACCTTGATGGTACTCGACCGTGGTGGGGCACATCACACCACTATGCCACTGCGGCATTGGTGTCTGGCATTGACACCGAGTACTCACGGGTACCAACCCATGGTGAGGCAAGCAGCCATCACCACGGTGTCATGCTCGGCGCGGCACCAGTTACGACTGCGTGCGTTGCCTCGACCACCACCTGGTCAGTTGTGTGTGCACTCGTGCACTACACTTGGGTTATGGCTCCACGGCCCATTATACCCGGCGCGTTGCGTACATTACGCACCGCAACCGCTTTGTCGGCGGGTGAGACGTTCCGTTCACCCTACTCGACAGGTCGTTCATGACCAAGGGACCAGTGCGTTGATTGCACTAGGCCCACGCTTCGCCTCGTGTGTGATTGCTTGCAACCCCAACACTGCTGATTTGCTCAGCGATTCCGAGGCACCTTGCGTCAGTGGCTTTCTTCGCCACTATGTCCTGTTCGGCTAGAGCTACCGCAGCTCTAGCCCGGCTGTTCGCCTCCAGCCTGCAGTCGATGTACATCGACGCCTGGTTCCGTAAGGAACTTGGTCTTACCTCAAGACCAGGGAGGAAAGGTATTTCCGAGCCTCTCCCCCACTTACACTCGAGACTATTGAGTCTCTCGTGGCTTGTGATAGCCACTGGCAGCACGACGGCTACTTGCCTCTTGGAAAGTCAGGGAGATTAGGTATTTCCATGCCTCTCCACCACTTAACCTCGATACTACTGAGTCTCGCGTGGTTTCTAATAGCCACTGGCAGCACGACGGCTACCTGCCTCTTGGAAAGTCAGGGAGGAAAGGTATTTCCGAGCCTCTCCCTCACTTAGCCTCGAGACTACTGAGTCTCTCGTGGCTTGTGATAGCCACTGGCAGCACGACGGCTACCTGCCTCCTGGAAAGTCAGGGAGGAAAGGTATTTCCGAGCCTCTCCACCACTTAACCTCGATACTACTGAGTCTCGCGTGGTTTCTAATAGCCACTGGCAGGCGCAACGGCTCTCCGCCATGTGCACTGCGTCGGTATGGTCGACCGCGTCGGCCGTGTCGACCGAAGGCATTCAGCCTTCGCGTCAGCAGTTTGAGTCTGCGCGACTTGACGTCGAGCGAGTTGCTCACGTCTGGCGAGGCCGAGACAACCTCGCGCCTCGAACCAATGGCTCTGTGTGCGGCGCTTTGGTACTCGCCTTGGGTGGACCTCTGTTACCCACACCGGAAGCGCATACAGCGACTTCCTTATCAGTTATAGTCTGAGTGACCTTGCGTGGAACTTTGTTACCCACGCTCGGAGCACCGAATGTCGGTCTCCTTAAGCAGCTTCGCTGCTTGCGGAACTTGTTACCCGCAGTCTGGACCTATGTTACCCACCTGGTGAATGCCCTTCGGCACCACCACTGTCGAAGCGCATACGGCGTGACGACCTCCGGTGTTGGGATCGGCTGGTGTGGCAGACCCGCACACACACCGGACAGTGGTGGTGTCCACCGACCGAGTCAGAGGAGTCTGGGCCCTGGAATCCGCGTCGCTTGAAGCGACGTCGGCCTGAACAAGGTTCAGACCCGACTTGCGGCGGCTGACGTGACGTGGCACTTTGTTACCCACGTTGTGATGTCTCGTTGGCGACATCAGAGGCACTCGAGACCTCGTGTGCACTGTGTTACCCACACAGGAAGCATGGAACATGCCTTTCCTTCTTCAGTTATAGTCTGGGCGACTGCGTGTGGTACTGTGTTACCCACACAGGAAGCATGGTAATGCCTTCCACTTCAGTTATAGTCTGGGCGACTGCGTGTGGTACTGTGTTACCCACACAGGAAGCGCATTCAGCGCCTTCCTTTTCAGCTAAGGTCTGGACGACCGTGTGGTCCTAAGTTACCCACCTGGTTAGTGCTTAAAGGCATAACCACTGTCGAAGCCCGTACGGCGCGACGACTCTTGGCGTTGGACGCTGCTGGTGTAGCAGGTCCACACACCGGGCAAAGTCCGTGGCATTGTCGCAGGATAGCATGGTCTTGCTGTACGCAGAGCTGTGGCGCGTTGACAGCTCCGTGACGCGTCTGCGGTCTGTATCAGACGCCCCAGTCATGACGGAGGTGGGAACATGACTCACCAATGCTCCGTCATAGACCTGGACTGGTAGAGCCCTTCTTAGCCTTGCCACACCAAAGTCCGGGCTGTGCCTTATGTTCGGCTTAGCCATGTTGTTCATGGCGAGAACTGCGAGCGACACCGCGGTGCGCGAGCTCATCGAGCCGAAACGTTCAGGTCCGTTGAGGACCATTGATACTACCGTACCAAAGGCTAGTCCACCAAGGACCAGCCCACGACCGCCACTCTGACATAGAGTGCAGTCGGATGTCGCTATGTCGCTATGTCAAGCGACGTTCCGGCGGCGTATCAACGCCCCAGAACTCATCAAACGCTCAAGGGGTACCGTACCCCCGTACACCGAGTGTACTACCAGCAGCCCATCACTGCCCTTCACCGGTTTGAGAGAACCACGTCTCTCTGGGCTAAGTCCCGTGGTGCGCACAACCTGCACACCCATCACGAAGGCTTAGCGCTCTTCAGTAGAGCATACTGCCTCTACTGGTGGCCGGGGAGTCTTCGTCCACCTGACCGTGGCCTGCGCCACCGGACTTGGGGCCCACGGGCCGTCTTCTTCCCGAGGACTAGCGAGGGACACACACGCTGGTAGTGTCCATGTCCGCCGCATCCATAGCAGCGGACCAAGCTCTCGGCTGAGCTTAAGTCCATGGGCTCGGGCTCGTTGTACGCACCGGTATCAACGGGCTGCGCGACAGCAGGAGAACAGCGTCATTGCTGCGATGCTCCGCCTCCCGAAGAACGCCATTCTCATCGTGGTGATGCTCCTCTTCCCGAAGAGTACCAGCCTGCTTGTGGCTGTACTCTTCTTGGAGGGCGATTCGAATCGCCTCCTCCATAGTTGTCGCTTGCACCCGGAATAGCTGGGTGCGAGCAGGACCGACCTTCAGGCCGTCCATGAAGACTGTTGTCTTAATGTCTTCAGGCAGAAGATTTCCTGCCAGAGATGCCACCAACGTGCGCATCTCTTGCGCGTACTCCTGCAGCTCACGTTTACCTTGCTTACACGCGAGAAAGCGTGAGCGCTGGCGGAACTCGACGTTCGCCGGTAGGAACGCGGCTCGAAGCTGCTCACACAGCTGAGCCCAGGATGCAAAGCATCCAGGAGATGACGTCTCCCTGGTGTATGCCCAGTGCTTGGCACGTCCACCGAGGTTGGACAGGGCAAACGCCACCCGTACTGGCTCGTCCGAGATGAGACCCGCCTTCATGGCGATCTCCACCTCACGGACGTAGAAGTGAAGGTTCTCTCCTTCCTTCCCCTCAAACGCGGGGACCTTCAGCCACAACGACTTAGGCCTGGTTGCCTGGGGAGCGACCATCGTGGCCTCCAAGCTCCCGCGGACGTGAGCGATGAGACCACGCTCGTAGGTCTCAAACGCGGTCACGCGTTCTTGTTGCTCGGCAGGCGTCGCCGCCGCCAAGCTGCGAAGGACATCTTGTCCAAA